TCTCTGTTGTAAACAGTCAAGAATGTGACCTTTTGCCTAATCACTGCTAGGGGACAGTCTGGGATTTAAATGTCTAGCTTCCTGGGGTCAGTGGAGAGTTAGGCTAAAATTTCTATCCTTACATTCCCCACTTCTTCTCTTGTTAATAGTTCTAATCTCAGAACTGGGAGGACTAAAAGCAGCCTCTTCCTTGCCCGGGAGGCTCTTGTACCATTGTCTAGGTATCATAATCTGAACCACACTCACTCCCTCCCAAACAAAATTAACGATTCTATTAATTATACAAGGTCTATTAGTAAGCAGCAAGAACAAAATCAGGGCAGGAAGTGGGGTGGTCATTCAAGGGGACTTGTTGAACCATCCCTCAAACCAAAGGGCAGCAAAGAGGCTTCCCAGAGCTGCTTCCATGCTCGCTGTCTCACCCATTCGAGCGCCTTTAGCCTAGCGAACAGGGGCTGGGAGGACATCACATCAGCACTATGTGCAGAGACAGTTTCCACAAGTGGAGGGGGCCCCCCCACAGAGTAATTCATAGGGGGTCACCCCAAACCGTCCAGGGGTGTTTCTAACTCTGAAAAGCACGAAGGGTAGGAGAGCTATCCAGTCACTAATGCCAGTCTCTGCGGTCAATTTAGTGAGGGTCTCTTTAATGGTTCCATTCATCCTTTCTACTTGCCCTGGGGTCTGCATGCACAATGTAATTTCCAATCAACCCCCAACGTGTTGGCCAGTCCCTGACTTAACCTGGTCAACAAAAGCTGGACCATTGTCTGATCCTAGTACCTTAGGTATTCCAAATCTTGGGAAGATTTCTTCCAGTATTTTCTTAGCCACCATGGTTGTGGTCTCCTTCTTGGTAGGGTAAGCCTCTACCCAACCTGAAAATGTGTCTATAAAAACTAATAAGTACTTGTTACCATATTTGGCTGGCTTTATCTCTGTGAAGTCCATTTCCCAGTGAGCGCCTGGATGGCTTTCCCTCAGTCTCTTCCCAGGAGGCATTCTTGCAGGGTAAGCATTAACCAGCTGACAAGGCACACAATGTTTTACTCCTGAGTCGGCCACCCCCAATAGTCCCAGAACATGATAAGGGGATGTTCTAACCAGTCTCCGCAGATGTTTAGCCCCTAGGTGGGTTAGATGATGTATCTGCTGGACGTACTCTGACCCTTCTGAGTAGGGTAAAATCTCCTTTCCATCTGAGGTATAGCAAGTCCCCTCTGGGGTTTCAGTGAACCCATCTAATTCTTTTATTTCCTGCCAGTCTTCCAGAGTATACTGTCATCCGAGTTCTGGGGCTTTAGACCTCTCTACTACCGGCAGCAGGTTGATACCCTGGGCTGCCTGCTTGGCTACCTTGTCAGCCATCTGATTCCCTTTTGAGATGAAATCTTTGGCCTTTTGGTGTCCAAGGCATTGTATAATGGCCAGTCTTTTTGGCAAATGTAAGGCTTCTAGCAAGCTTAGAATTTCTTCTTTGTTTTTGACTTCCTTCTCTGCTGAAGTAAGCAGCCCCCTTTGCTTATAGATAGCCCCGTGCACATGTGCAGTTGCAAAAGCGTACCTGCTGTCCGTGTAGATATTTATGGATTTCCCTTTGGCCAGCTGCAAGGCCTGTGTGAGGGCCACAAGCTCAGCTTTTTGTGCTGAGGTTCCTTCTGGCAGGCTGTTGGCCCAAACAATGTGGATTCCATCCACCACCACTGCCCCAGCCATTCTTTCTACCATGTAAGTGTTCCCATCCATGAACCAGGTCAACGCCTCTCCGGCCAGATGGATGTCCGTAAGATCTTTGCGAACTCCAGTCTCTTTAACCAACACTTGATGGCAGCCGTTGTCACTGGTTCAGTCTCCTCAGGCAGAAGAGTGGCAGGGTTGAGGGTGGCTGGCGGAGCGAACGAAATCCTCTCGGTGAGAAGCAGGCTTTGATAGTGAGTCATGCAAGCATTGGTCATCCATTGGTCTGGGGGCTGCCGGATAATGCTCAGTCCAGTGCATGGGGGGCTATTGTAGTTACTTGTCAACTTGTCAGTGTCTTTGACCAGTACAGCCATGGCCACCATAGCTTTTAGACAGCCAGACCATCCACTGGCTACAGGATCAAGCTCCTTCCCATTTTATCAGTTACTGATGGCTGTTCAGAGTCAAAATGAATCTGGGCTCCTACTTTTGACAGAATGTCTCTTCCTAACGGAGGGTAAGGGCATTCTGGGATAACCAGGAAAGAGTGGGATACCCCCCGGCCCACGCCAAGGTCCACTGTTCTTCGGGTAGTCAATGAATAAATATTGCAGTTGCCCTGTGGCATCCATTACAATATGCACATTGGTCCTTCTCAAGAGGGGTCCTGATGCCCAGGTTTCCTGACTGTCTAGGGCCTGCTCTAAAGTTTTTAATTTTTTTCTCTCTCTCGCTACCATTTCCTTTTTTAACTACTGCGGCCAAGATTTTAGTCAAAATTTTTTTCCTGTCTTTTGTTACGCCTGTCCTCTCTCTCTTCTTTTTCCTTTTCTTTTTTCTGTTTCTTTTTTTCCTCTGTCTCCCTTCTATAATACGCTTTCTCTGCCTCTTTTACTAAATCACGCAACTCAGCTTCCTGTAACCCTTCCAGTCTCTGGAGTTTTTTTTCCCCCTAATATCTGGAGCCGATTGCCCTATAAAGGCCAGAATCACTGAAGCTCTCTGGGCTTCTGAGGTAGGGTCAAAGGGAGTATTTTCTTTACCTTAGCCAAATTGGTGGGCTGTCTCACAGCACCTTGGAGATCCGCCACCAGAGCCTGGCGATAGACGACTTTTAAGCTCTCCCTACCTTCGGCGGTGTTGCAGTCCCAACTGGGGCAACCCAAAGGGAATCCCAAGTCAGTAGTATTCTCTCCTGCTCCTCGATGGTGAAGAGCATCTGCAGCAGGCTGTTGACTGTTGAGAAAACATAAGAGACTCCACCCGAGAAGTGTTGGGGATCCTCTGAGAAAGGGGGGTGGTTAGTTTTTCAATTACAAAGATCTGAGGCCCAGTACTGTCTGTGTGTGTGTGTGTGTGTGTGTGTGTGTGTGTGTGTGTGTGTGTGGGCCAAACATGCACAGCAACAGGGTCATAACCCTGCCCGTCCATTCCGGCGTGGCTCTGCCCCTGCCACCCCGGCCCATGGCCTCTCAGCTGCAGCTTGGCCTTGGCTGTGCAGGCGGCTGCGGTGGCAGTGACCGAACACTCCAGGGAGCAGGAGACCTGCGCATTCACATTCTTGCTGGGTCTTCCAGCCCCAAAGATGGATCCGCACAAATGCTCTCTGGCAGTGGGTCAGGATGAAAGCCAGGTCCGGAAAAACAGTTGCCTTAACAGCTTGGATAATCTCAGAATTAAACGCCATCCGACATCGAATGTCTGCCAACTCAGGCACAAAAGTCTGCCAGAATCTCCCTAACCTCTACTGACAAATTATGGGCCGAGACTTAACTTTAGTCCAGTGGTCAAGAGTTAAACTAAAGGGGAGTCGTCAGTCACAGTCAGTCCTAGGATAAAACTACAGATAAAGACACCATGGAGGAAGTTTCCTAACAGAGTTCGGCCCCACCAGCCGACAGATGGAAGCCGATGGCTTCCTCACCTCCTGGGATGTCCCTCAAGGCGGCTCTAACGGATTCAGAGTTCGGTCTACCGACCAACAGATGGAAGCCAATGGCCTCATCTCCCAGGGTGTCCCCCAAGGCAGCACTAACAGATTCAGACATGCGCGGCCCAGGCGGGCCGAGGAGGAAGTTTCCACCTCAACAACAGAGTTCGGCCCTACAGGCCGACAGATGGAAGTTAACAACGGGGCGTCCCCAGGCTTCCTATACCCCCTGGAGATTCCTCCAGGGCCACAGCTTGTGACCATCCTAGCACGTCTACTGATCACAGCCCACTGGTACTTACAACCCAAGAAGGCAGCTGCAAACCGAAACCGAGAACACACGTTCCAGTATACAGATACAGGAAAACAGAGACGCAGGCTGACAAGACATACAAACAGACACACACATTAGAGGGATCCCCGTACCTCCAAGCCGGTTCTCGGGTGAGAGGGGTGGTCGCAGTTTCCCGTCTAACACACCAAATGAAAGACCCATAGAGCGGGTGGACCCTCACACCCCGACTCAGGAAAGGCGCCCTCCCCAAATCACTCATGAGAAGCGGTCTTGATGCAAAAGCATGAGGTCTTTTATATTCCCAGTGCACTGGGGTCCGCAGCCATACTCACGTGGGAGTAGAGGACTGGGGAACCCTGGGTACAGGGTTCAGACAGCTTTTATAGCGTTACAACAAAGCCCGCGCATCATAAACCAATCATCTCATAGCATCCAGTGCGGACCAATCAATTTGAACTATCCAAGCCCACACTTAGCCCAGGAAGTCTGCTTTTGCACGGGCTTCTGGGTGGGGTGACAAGGTTCATTTCCTGTGTTCCCTCACTCACAGGTGCTGTCATAAACAGCCCTGTTGTAAACAGTCAAGAATGTGACCTTTTGCCTACTCACTGCTAGGGAACAGGGTCTGGGATTTAAATGTCTAACTTCCTGGGGTCAGTGGAGAGTTAGGCTAAATTTTTCCATCCTTACAACACTTCTTCCGGTCTCTGTAGGCACCAGGCACGCACATGGTGCAGACACACATGCAGACAAAATATTCATACACGGGTTCGAGGTCTACAAAGCGAGTTCCAGGATAGGCCCTGAAGTTACCCAGAGATACCCTGTCTCGAAAGCAATAACAACAACGACAAAAATCCATACACATTTTTTAAAAAGAGGGAAGGAATTCAGATCCTTTAGTCCATGGCTAGCAACAGCTCCCACGTCCAGCCAACAGAACACAAGGCACGCCCATTTCCGTTCTCAACAAAGTCCGCCTCTTGCGGCTCAGAGAGCCAGGCTCCACCTCTACTGAATGAAGCTCTGTGCCACACCCGGCAGCTCCCGCCCCCTCTGCCTGTCCGTCAAATGCATCCTGGTCCCGCCCTCTGCCTATGTTTCACGCAGACCTCAGTGCGGCCCGTTGTTATGACGACACGGTCGTAAATCCGCCATCTTCCTGTGGCGCGTTGCGACATGGAGGGCGCGATGGCAGTGCGGGTGACGGCCGCTCATACGGCAGAAGCCCGGGCCGAAGCCGGGCGTGAAGCGGGCGAGGGTGGGGTTGCGGCGGCGGCGGTGGCCTTGACCTCCGGCGGCTTTCTTGGCCTGCCAGCACCCTTCAGCGAGGAAGGTAACGAGGCTACAGAAACCTTGTGCGGCCAGGGTGCGGGCGGCTCTGGCCCGGCCGCGGGGTGCAGACTCGCCAGCATCCAGGCTTTTCGAGTGTCTGCAAACCTTCACAACTCTCACGGGCCACCTCTAACTCGCTGGGCCCAGTACTGGGCCTCACAGGGAGCCCATTTCTCCAGTCCCTTGGAGTAGATCTGGCCAAACATCGCTCGCAACTCGTAAGCGTTCACCAGCCCTAGCTCCAGGGTCCCCTCCTTTGCCACTGGGGCTTTGCTTGCCCCAGGAGGAGCTGGAGACTGGGGGCGGGGCCGTAGGGCCCTGACAGAAAGGGAGTAAGGGACCTGAAAAGGGGCGGTGGCACCGCCCCACTGAGGACCTGGGTCTCCCCTACAGGGTGGAGCAACGACTCCAGGGATGTGCAAGACACTCCCGCTGTATCGGCTTTTACCATTGCTTAAACCACCAACTTCGAAAGGCGAACTATTATTACTACTCTTCACTTCAGAGATTGGAATAATTGGAATTCAAGGATTGTAAAATGGTTGGATCACTTATCTCTTTCTTGTCAAGGATCAGATTGGAGCCAGGACTGTGTAACTCCTAAACCCTTTAATTTCTCCTAGGAGCATGGGGAAGAATTAAAAGCATGTCTGTATGTTGAAGGCTGTGTTGGGTACACTAAAGATTACTGGGTGCAGATCTGATGGTTCAGGTATCCACTCTGAGTTCCATGGAGCTGTAGATTTGATCAGACAGGAAGTGGTTTGTCAAGTAATATTGTCATCAGGGTGCTGTTCTTTGTCCCCACAGGACTCAGTTTCATTGTAATTGTTTTTCTCCCTTATTCAGTTACAGTCTCAGAGGGATCGCTCTTGAGATTCTTTCTGTTTTTTGTTTATTTGAGACAAGATCTCAATACATAGAGGACTGGCTGTCCTGGAACTCTTTTTCTGTAGACCAGGCTGGCTTTGAACTTAGAGATGCTCCTGTCTCTGCCTCCCAAGTGGTGGAATCAGAGGCGTGCACATCCATCGCCTGGCCCCAGTGCTGGGATTAATGACATTTACCACCATACCTGGCTTATAGATTCTTGGGTTTGTTTACAACAGTGGTTCTCAACCTTCTTAATGCTGCAACCCTTTAATACAGTTCCTTGTGTTGTGGCGACCTCCACCATAAGTTTATTTCGTTTTGATAGGCAGTGGTGGTTCATGCCTTTAATCCTGGCACTGGGAAGGCAGAGGCAGGAAATCTCTGTGAGTTTGAGGCCAGCCTGGTCTATAGAGGAAGTTCTAGGACAGCTAGGGCTACACAGAGAAACCCTGTCTTGAACTCACTCCCCCCCCCAAAAAAAAATTATTTCGTTGTGAACTTCACAATTGTAATTTTTGCCACTGGTACGAGTTGTAATGTGAATATCTGATAGCTAAGCCCAGAGGGGTCATGACCAACATTTTGAGAACCACCCTGGTATGCTCTGGAATGGCCCTTTCTCTGTGAAATGGGCTACCTGTGCTACTTTTCTTTCTTTCTCTTTCTTTCTTTTTTTTTTTTCTTTCAGACGGTTTCTCTGTGTAGCTTTGGTTATCCTGACACTCACTTTGTACATCAAGTTAGCCTTGAACTCACAGAGTTCCAACCTCCTTTGACTCTTGAGTGCTGGGATAAAAGGCATATGCCATCACTGCCTGGCCAGTAACAATATTTTGTTGCTAAGTCAGACTGTAAATGAGATGGGTAAAAGGATTGTTGGCACTTCAGTGCTTGGTTTGAGACTGAGCCGTGTGCAGGACACCACCCTCTTACAGGTGGCCAGTGTGCCAGTCATAGCTTGGGGTTGCCCATTTATTTGATGGTTAATTTGTCATCAACTTTACTCCTCCCTTGTACCAGGCTAGGTTTGACTTTGATGTGGGACTGCGTGTAAGATAGTGGAAACTAGCAGACTGTTTTGGAAGCTGAGTCTGGCGAGTTCAGCTGAGTGACGTTGAACCTTAGTAATTCTTTAGGATTGACTTAGTCATACCTTTCCCCAGGGTGCTGGGATGAGTTGGTTAAATTCTTAGTTGCTGAGCTGAAAGGAAGGCTCAGTGGTTAAGAGTACTTGTTGCAACTGGGTGGGAGTGGTGTACATATAGTGAGGGTACAGACCTACATACAGGTGAAGTACCCACACTTGAAGTAAAAGTAAACAAATCTAAAAGAAAAAATGGCCAGGAGTGATGGTTCACACCAGCACTTGGGAGGCAGAGGCAGGTGATGTCTCTGAGTTCATAGCCAGTCTGGTTCTAAATAGTGAGTTGCAGGACAGTCAGGGCTGTGTAGAGAGACTCTGGAGAGGAAGGGGAAGAGACAGAGGAAGGGAGGAGAGAACAGAAAATGAAAAACAATTCCTTTTTTTTTTTTTTTAAACTTTTTTGCCTCCTGAGTGCTGGGATTAAAGGCATGCTCTACCACTGCCTGGCCTTTTTGTTTGTTTGTTTTTGTTTTTTGAGACAGGATTTTTCTGTGTAACTTTGGAGCCTGCCCTGGAACTCACTCTATAAACCAGGCTGGCTTCAAACTCACAGCCTCCCAAGTGCTGGGATTAAAGGTGTGTGCTACCAATGCCCTCTCAAAACAGTTCTTACATACTCATCATGTAACTCCTGCAGGTCCAAGAATAGGTGCAGTGATGGTGAGGGGCCCAGATGCAGTATCTGGATGAGTAACTCCTTTGGACTGCTTTATCTTTGGAGTATACTCTGGATCAGGATGCTACCCAATGGGGACCAGTATAGCATCAGATTAAGAGAGAAAAAGAGTGGTCATGGTGTGGCTATATCCCCCTGGTAGAATGTTTGCTTAGCATGTTCAAGGCTCATTTTTAGCACTATATACACACATGCACAAAGCAGTAAGAGTGATTGGAGTGGGGGTTCCTGCTAGTCTGTTCCTGCTGTTTTTAAAAAGCTGGCCTATTAACTAGAGTTCTGTGGACATCCATCCTCTGAGCCCCTTGTACTCTAGGTGGATATACATAACTAGTTAGCCCATTTATCTTTCTCAAGATATGAAAATAGCTTTGAGATGGCAGGTGAGATGCCTACACATTAAATCACCAGCAGGCTTAAAATTTTTTTTCAGATTCTGGGTATCTAAACTCAGTGGTCTAATGGATGGTAGGCAAGTGTTCTGCCACTGAGCTACATCCCCAACTTCTCAGTAATCTTCAATCTGAGTTGTTTGCTATCCCCAAACTTACTTAGGTGAGTTCTTATGTCTCCCAGCCTCTCTCCCCAGCTCTGGCATGTAGGACTTTGAATGTTACAGCTTCAGTTTGCAGTTGCAGGATAAATGTGTGGTCAGGGTAACCCTGTGCAGAATGCTGATCTCCATAGTAGACCTTGCTCCTGTAGACCTCTAAAAGATGAGGTTAGACCTTAAGATGTACTCCAGTATGTCCTCAGCAGCTCCTGGGTGAGCAGTCTCTTGTGTCAGCCTTGAAGGGGAAGCTGGATGAGGCCCTGACTGCTTTCATTCCCCTTGACATGAGGCTTATTGCAGATGAAGATGATGTGCACAGATGTGGCCGCTGCATGGTCGAATTCACTGCCTTGGAGGACTTTGTCCAGCACAAGATTCAGAAGACCTGCCATCGGGCTCCTCAAGAGACCCTGCCTACCACTCCTGCTGCCACTACACTACTGGGCCAGGAGGTGAGCCCCTACTAGCTGCTAGCACCCACACTCCTCTGGTTTGGCTTATCTCCCAGAAGGAAGCGGAAACTGTCTCGAGCAGCCTGAACAGCTGGTTTATGACATGTGGCCAATTGGAAGGCAGATATGCCTGTGGGTGAAGGGAGACTAACTGTACCACCTGGAGTGGAGTTGTGCTTTGGGGTGGCCTGGGTAGCTCAACTTCAGCAGCCTACATAGTTTGGGGGTGGGGGATCTTTCTTGTGTGTGAGGGGTATCTTAGCTTTGGTCTTTTTCCTCATCTGCTATCCTGTTCACATGGTTCTTAGGGCTCTCTTGAAGTAGGGCCTACTGGGTCCTGGGACCCACTTGATTGAATCTCAGTGATGTGCTTGGGTATGTACTCAAATAGTCTTACTAAATGCTGTCACGTACAGCATTCCCATGAGTCTTAGCGGGTAGAATTAAGAAGAGGTGATAGCCTGGCTTGGTAATATAGGCCTGTAACCCCAGCTACAGAGGAGACTAAGGCAGAAGGATTTCAACTTCAAGACCAGCTTGGCCTACAATATAAGTTTGAGGCTACCTTAGATGACTTAGACTCAAAATAACATTTTAAAGGAGGCTGGAAAGATGGCTCAGTGATTAAAAGCACTTACTGCTCTTGCAGAGAACTCAGGTTCAGTTCTTAGCACTTGTATGGTAGCTCACAACTATCTGTTACTCCAGTTTTTGGAATTTTGATGCCTTTTTCCTGGCTTCTGTTGGTGCTTGGCATGCATGTGGTGTACATACATACATACATACATACAAGCAAAACATTCATATATAAAATAAAATAAATATATCTTTATATTAATGAAAAGAGGCCTAGGAATATAGTTTAATGTATTCAATATAGTGGATGTTTACTTACTTGTACAAAGGTTCAGTCTCTAATATCTTTGTTCCGAGAGGAGAAACCTCTAGGACAGTGGTTCTCAACCTGTGGGTGGTAACCCCTTTGGGTTGTCAAACATCCTTTTTACAGGATTCACCTAAGACCATCAGAAAACACAGATATTTACATTATGATTCATAACAATAGCAAAATTACAGTTATGAAGTAGCAAGGAAAATAATTTTATGGTCGGGGGTCACTACAAATGAGGAACAGTATCAAAGGGTTGCAGCATTAGGAAGGTTGAGAACCACTGCTCTAGAAAAAAAGTCAGTGGCCTCAGGCTACCAGCATAGAATGGTTCAGGTGACATTGGAAAGGGATTAATTTTCCAACTTTGCACTTAACTACTTGCCCCCTCACTGTGTACACTCTAGGAATGTCTGTCTCACAGCCCTGGGGTCCTTTCTTCTAACCACCTGGCTGGGGCTGTGTGTGTGTGTGCATGCACACTGCACCTTCATTCCTACAGCTAGCCCAGCTTTATGCCTGTTGTGTGTCCCTTGCTGTATATGTTCTCTGATCAGTGTCCAGGTCAGAGGTATTAGACTTATGGGGCTGACCCTGACTGGGGTCATGTCGTGGTTCAGGCTTAGAGCCATGTTCCTTGGAGGGAAGAAGAGAGCTCCCCCCATTCCACTCCACACAGCCTTTCTGTAGGACATGGACCAGGCCTGTGTTTCTCAAGTCCCTTTCTTGCGTAGAGGGTAGTTTCTTCTCTGTAAATTCCAGAATCCACAGATGCATCTCATTTGTCTTTTGATCCCATTGATAGGTGGTGCCAACTGCAGCAGAGGGAGGTCCAGAAGAGCCCATCACTGTGGCCCACATCGTAGTGGAAGCCACCTCTCTGGCGGCAGACATCAGCCATGCTCCTGACCTTGTTGGTAAGCCAGTTGTCCATGGGTCACCCTCAGCTCTGAGGAATTGGCTTGATGGCTGATTATAGTCAGGGCTGGAGGGTCTCCATTGTTCACATCCTCCACTCTCCTAGGAGCATGGACTGTCTACAGAGGGGTCTATGCCTTGTGTGAGCCTCCCTTGGGCAGGCCCTTCAGGGGGAGGGTCAGTAAACACTAGGCTCTTTCAGGAAGGGAGCCCAGGACATTCCTTACTGCCCTGGAGTACTTGGAGGCATTTGGGAATCTTCAATCTATGTACCACCATGAACTTGTCCCTCTTATGTGCTGTTTCTATCCCTGTCCTCCTTAGCATCTTCTCCACTTCTCTGCCAACGTAATCCGTCCCTCCTGCCCCTAGGTAAAACCCATCGGTATACCCCATCATAGTCCCTTGCCCCAGCGGTTGCCTTCCTACGAAGGTGGACAGGGTGTTGCTGATGCTTCAGCTGTCCCTGACTTGCTGCTTGGCCCTGGTTTTCATCCCTTTGCTTGTTTACACTGGTATGGATTGTTGCCCTGATGCTTGATGGGCTTTTATGAGCATATAACGCCAAGCCTCTTTGATGGCTAATGCTTTCAATTTAAGTACTCATTGATGTGAAGAGGGGCTACTGAGAGGCCTAGGTCAAGTGCTTATTAATTGGAGACTGCTGAGTATGCAGGGAGCATTCAAAGGGCATTCTGGGCTTGAACAGGTGAAGGGAGCCAGGGACTGAGTTCAGGGAAGGCATAAGTAGTTGAATGTTCAAAAGCCATTGAAGGGTAATGGGGTTGAATCCAGTGAGGTTGGATGTTGGGAAGGGAATCATCATTGCCCTGCAGGGACCAAGACAGATAGGTGAATGTGCAGGTGGACAGAAAGTGATTGGGACAATGGCTAGAACTTGACATTGAGAAAGCTATGAAACTCCATTGGGGCAGGAAGAGAGAGAGGATCTGTTGACAAAGGCAACCTTGGCTAGGGAAGGGAGCCTCTGAGCACATTACCCTTCCCAAGGACACCTGTCTGGGTTTCCACTGCCTTTCTCAATGTTCCTGCCACAGGAAGACTCACCCCTTGCCAGTCAGACTTAGGAATGTTGTAATGTGGGGGTGGGGCCCTGCTTCTGCCCTGGCATAGAGTTTAGTTTCTGTGGTGGGAGGTGTTATTTGGAAAAACAAGTTCATTGGGTTCTGGCGTGTAACCAAGCTCTGCCAGCTGGGTCCTTTTCCACCTACTCCAGCCTTCAGTGGTTTCAAGGTTTTGCTTAGCACAGCAGTCCTGTACCTTCTGTAGCCCTCCCAAGGGGAGGGGAGCCAGGGCCCACCAGAATTTCTGATAGCCTGGGTGAAGAAAAGGTGGTGAGGGAGATGGACTGGTCAGCAGGGGCTGCTTGGAGTGGCTGTATCAGCTCTAGATTCTTTGCATCTGTCTCTAACAAGTGTGTTTCTTCTTGGTTACTAGGTCTCTGTCCTTTGGGTTGGTACTTGTGGGGCATTGGGCTGGGAGCACAGGTGGGAAATGCCCTTAATTGTTTCTGAGTCATGGTGCTCACTCACTCTGTTTTGAGAGAATGGCTTGTCAAAACAAGACCAGCTGGCTGGAGATGGTTTTTAAGAAGTAGTTTCACAGCTAGTTCCCACTCATCACTTTTATGAGTAGAAAATGTGAAGGATGTTTATAGTGTGGCTTTGCACATTGTCAGATTCCTCAGCATCCTGTGAGAAGTGCAAAAACCTGACTTCCTTTTCTATAACTGTCTCAGGTGTCTAGTTTCTCCAGTCAGTTCTAGGCAGGGACCTGGCTAGGCCTGCCTGCCTACCCACTGGCAGCCCAAGCCTTTGGGCAGCACCCAGAACTATCTTTCCTTTAAATTGGTGGGACTGATTCATCCAGCAGAAAAAAATGCATTGCCTATTTACCTGGGCATCCTGTTGTAAGACCCCTGGGTCTCTTGGTTTAGGGGATGGGACATCTCCTCAGGGAGTGTCCATATTGGGCACAGTGTGGGGGCTCTGAACTTCAGGCAGCTCTACTGAGGTGAAGGTGGTCTATCCACATGTCAGACTGCCTCTAATGGCTCCTGCATAGACTTCCCTCAGTGCAGATTAGATTCAGGTTCTAGGCCCTAGGATTGGGGTGGTGTGTGGTATAGACAGTTCTGTGGCTTCCAGTGGACTCCTGTGGAGGGATCCTTATGGGCAGAGCCTATAGTATGCTAGGTCTTGAGGCTTACGTTAACTTGCCTCTCCTCAGGAAGTGGGCACATCAAAGAGGTCATTGTGGCTGCTGAGGCAGAGCCAGGGGATGGCGAGATGGCAGAGGCTCCAGGCAGTCCTAACCATCAGGAACTTGGGCTTATTGGGGAGGGCGAGCAGGCCCAAGTCAAGCTGCTGGTGAACAAGGAAGGCCGCTACGTGTGCATGCTATGTCACAAGACCTTCAAAACGGTGAGCCCCTGGGGCCAAGGGCCCATTGGCTCCCCTGCCTACTCCTATCCAGTGAGGTGCCTTGAGCCTTACTGCCCCTCCCCCACAGGGCAGCATCCTTAAGGCCCATATGGTAACGCACAGCAGCCGCAAGGACCATGAGTGCAAGCTCTGTGGTGCCTCCTTTCGGACCAAGGGCTCACTCATCCGGCACCACAGGCGACACACTGGTAAGTGAAATGGGGGTTGGATCTACACTAAATAGATTGGCTCTGGGGGCACCCTACAGCTGGCCTGTGTCCTTCCAGATGAAAAGGCAGAGGTTCTATGCCTGGTGTCCCCTCAACACAGGACATTTGTCCATACCCCACTGGGGGCTGGTTGTTCTTTTACAGATGAGCGTCCTTATAAATGTGCCAAGTGTGGAAAGAGCTTCAGGGAGTCAGGTGCACTGACTCGGCACCTTAAATCTCTCACTCCGTGCACAGAAAAGATCCGCCTCAGTGTGAGCAAGGCCACAGTTGTGGGCAAAGAGGAAGTGCCTGCAGGTTAGCCTGGTGGGGAGGTTGCCTGAGTTCCTGGGATAGGTATTGCTAAAATTGGCTGCCAGGCTCTTCAAGGACTCATTGAGCTCTGCCTTAAAGGGCCTAGTGCCTCCACTGTGGGGACAGTTACATCATCAGTGGCAGGAGAACCCATGGAGACATCACCTGTGATTCACCTGGTAACAGATGCCAAGGGCACTGTCATCCATGAAGTCCATGTCCAGATGCAGGAGCTTCCCCTGGGCATGAAAGCCCTGGCCCCCGAGGTAGGTGATGCTCTGCCCTTTGATCACACTGTGCCAGCCAGGCTGGATTCAGAAGCTGCCTTCTGAAAGCCCAGGACAGAGTTATACCCGACCCCCACCCTGGGTGTAGGGAGACCTCCTTAGTCGATGGCATATCAAAGCAGGGGAGCTGCCAGGGAGTGAGGTGAAGTGTAGGAAGAATGGGATGGATTTACTCAGAACAGAGGCAGCTGGCAGTGCACCATGGGGCTCCAAGGATGGGCCTGTCATGCGTCTGCCGTGTGGAGTGGGTGAGAAAGGATGCCCTGTGCTGGGCTGCCTGGCAGGCTTCCCCTCTTCCTTCTTTGCCTCTACCTCTCTTACAGTCCCCAGACCCTGAGGAGCTTCCCTGTTCCAGTGAGAACAGCCGTGAGAACCTGCTACATCAGGCCATGCAGAATTCTGGCATTGTCCTCGAGCGGGTTGCTGGGGAGGAGAGTACTCTGGAGCCAACCTCTCCCTCTGTGTCCAGTCCCCAGTCCCTGGGAGAGGGACCCCCAGAACTGCCCCTGCTGGAAGTGGAACAGATAGAGACAGTAGGTTTCTGTTATGGGCATGACCCTTCTGGTGAGGTTAACGCAGTGCCTGCTTACCATGCTAGGGGGAGGCTCCCTCCTCATGCATTTGGCTTTAGGTTTTGTTGCTTTTGTAGACACCATCTAATGTAACTCAGGTGCCCCACAGTTACTATGGAGTCAATGTCAGCCTCACTCAGTTCTTGTTCTTCCTGCTTCTTCTGGAAATACAGATGTGCACTACTGTGTCTGGCTTGAAAAGTAGCATTGCTTTCTGCTGTAACTTTTTCTTGTTAATTTCCTTACCAAAGGCCAAGAGAGAAGAGGCTGGCTCTTCTTTTTGGCACCTTCGGGGCATAGCTTACAGTAGTACTAGAAGTTGGTCTGTGGTCCCCCCCGGCAGGTGGCCAGTGAAGCTTCAGTGGTGCCTAGGACACACCCATGCCCTCAGTGCAGTGAGACTTTCCCAACAGCAGCCACCTTGGAGGCCCACAAGAGAGGTCATATAGGTGGGTAGCAGAGAGGTAGGCGGTTGGCCTATGGGATGGCAACTGGTGGGCTTGTGGGTGGTGAAAATGGCTTAACGTTCGTTGTGGCTTCAGGGCCGAGGCCATTCAACTGCACACAGTGTGGCAAGGCCTTCCCCAAAGCCTACCTGCTCAAGAAGCACCAGGAGGTGCACGTACATGAGCGCCGCTTCCGTTGTGGAGAGTGTGGGAAACTTTATAAGACCATTGCCCATGTGCGGGGCCACCGCCGTGTCCACTCAGATGAGAGGCCTTTCCCTTGTCCCCAGTGTGGCAAGCGTTACAAAACCAAGGTAGGCTGTTGGTCTTAGAATCCTTATGCCTGAACCCACCCTCCATTGCCTTAACTGGGGGACCTGCCGTGTCATGTGTTACACTGTCCCTGCCATACCTGGGGGTGGGGGCTGTGGTCGAGAGCAGGCTGTTACAGAAGGGTCTCCCTAGAATGCCCAGCAGGTGCACTTCCGGACACATCTGGAAGAGAAGCCCCACGTGTGCCAGTTCTGCAGCCGAGGCTTCCGAGAGAAGGGCTCACTGGTGCGGCATGTGAGGCACCACACAGGCGAGAAGCCTTTCAAGTGCTACAAGTGTGGCCGTGGCTTCGCAGAGCATGGCACACTCAACAGGCACCTGCGCACCAAAGGTCTGGGCCGCAGATGGCAGGCGAGGGTGAGGGCTGGGGTCATCGCCCTGACTGAGCTGAGTGTCCCTGTTGGCAGGGGGTTGCCTGCTGGAAGTGGAGGAGTTGGTGGTATCTGAGGAGAGCCCCTCTGCGGCTGCCACTGTGCTTGCAGAAGACCCCCACACTGTGCTGGTGGAGTTCTCATCTGTGGTGGCGGATACCCAAGAGTATATTATTGAGGTGGGTATAGGGCTGGGGGTGCAGGTTTGGACTCAGGACAGTCTAGGCTGACCTCATTGGCTTTCCAGGCTACTGCAGATGACACAGAGACCAGTGAAGCCACTGAGATCATTGAGGGCACCCAGACAGAGGTGAGGGTATGGGTGAGGTATGGGAGGGTCATCAGGCTGCTGAGCAGCCTGTCAAGCTGACCCATGGTCCCTGCAGGTGGACAGTCACATCATGAAGGTGGTGCAGCAGATTGTGCACCAGGCTGGTGCTGGGCACCAGATCATCGTGCAGAATGTGACCATGGACCAGGAGGCAGCACTGGGCTCAGAGGCAGCTGCTGCTGACACGATCACCATTGCCACTCCTGAGAGTCTAACTGAGCAGGTGGCCATGACACTGGCTTCAGCAATCAGTGAAGGCACTGTGCTCACAGCCCGCGCAGGTCCAAACAATACTGAACAGGCCACTGTGACAATGGTGTCATCAGAGGACATAGAGATCCTTGAGCATGGAGGAGAGCTGGTCATTGCTTCACCAGAGGGCCCACTTGAGGTGCAGACGGTCATCGTGTAGCTTGAGGGCCTCTACTGTGGTAGAATGAGGACCCTGAGTGCCTGCCCACACCTGCCTGGTCAGAAGAAACTGAAGTTCAGGCACCTAAAGGAGATGACAGTGTGAATATGCAGTTTTTTGTTTGTTTTTTTTTTGTTTTTGTTTTTGTTTTTGTTTTTTTTTTTTTTTTTTTTTTGCTTTACAATAAAACATGAAAACCTGCAGCTTGTGATGTTGAGGTACAGATAGCCTCTGGGGCTGGCACCACTGCCTTCATAGGTGCCCTCTGGACACACCTGCTTGCTCAGGCCACCCTTTAACCACACACTTGGCTTCCAGCCCTGGTGGCGCCTCAAGGCGCGTGGGTGTCTCTGGCATGTTGACAGACAGCCTCTTGTTGGTACCCTACCTAGCTGGATCCATGACTCTAGCTTTCCCAGGCCTGCTAGGGTGTGAGGTGTTCCTTCTCACCTACCAAATTTAGGACTGCCAGGGATTAGGGGCTGGTCTAAAGACCTAGGGCCTTGGATCAGACTGAGTAGCTGGTGCTTTCCTCAGTGATGGAGAAGGGTTGGAGAAGCAGCAGGAGATGCCTGAGCAGGCTAGGGCTGGTCTTTCCTGATTCATCAGCTTGTTTCCCTGATGGGATGCTGCTCAAGGCAGCTTATTCTGGGCCATCTAGTTTCTGGAGAGGTGGAGACAAGAAAGAGGCTGGCCATGGGTCTGGTTGTCCCTTATTATAGTGATGAGATTCTTCTGGGGGACTACCAGGGACTTCAACCATGATTCTAAGTCAGTGCAACTGGTTTAGTATGCCCTGCCCCTTACACTCTTGGGTCTCTGGAATGGGGGCCAGTTCTGGAATCCACTCCATGGAAGGGGCGGTTCCCATTGTAGTCCAGCCCCTTCCTGGTTCAGAGCTTCAAATACCTGTGGGTGTTTGGAATCAGAGCTACTGTAGATCCAAGGCTAAGTTCATCTTGGGCTACATGAGGCCCCCATTCTGGACTGAATCACACTGACTCTGGACCCTTGAGTTTTTGATAATACCTTTTTCACAGCCCAGGTAAGTCTAGGGGCTGGGCTGGGCTGGGCTGGGCTGGGCTGGGCTGGAGGCTGGGTGGGAATAGAATCCTTCCATCCTTGCAATGAGAGAACATCACCCCACCCCCATACGTACACACTGAAAAAACATGGGGAATGTAGGGACACAGGCCAATACGATGCCAGATCTAGTTGGATATAGTTATGGTATGGCCTGGTATGGGTTTGTGTTCCTGTCCCCAGGGCTATCTGCTTTGCCATGGGTTGGTTCTGGGCCTGGCTGACAGCACTTTGGGCACTGGGAGCCATGGGGGCCAAAGCACTGCGCATTGGAGCCTTCAACATTCAGAGCTTTGGTGACAACAAAGTGTCAGATCCAGATTGCGGCAGTGTCATAGCACAGGTGAGGCCCTGTAGGGGTGGTGGAGGAACTGGATGAAGGGCAACGGGGAGGGGTTGGAAGGTGTGGAGCAGACTGGACCAGGAGCTAGGCTCGGGGCAATTAGGCTGATTGAGACAGAGTACCTGTGAGTTCTTCCTTCAGATCCTGGCTGGCTACGATATCGCCCTGGTGCAGGAGGTGCGAGACCCAGACCTGAGTGCAGTGTCCTTGCTCATGGAGCAAATTAACAGGTATGGCAGGGCCCAGCACCACAACCCCAGCCACAATCACAAGCTTGGTTTGGTGCCTTGACTCAGGGATTGGTGGATCTCTCCACAGAGTGTCCAAGCATGAGTACAGTTTTGTGAGCAGCAAGCCACTTGGACGTGACCAATACAAGGAAATGTATCTGTTTGTCTACAGGTGAGGGGTGGGATGAAGGGAGGGGATACAGGCACAGAGGTAACCAGCTCCACAGACCCCTTGATCCTCTGCTCCCAGGAAAGATGCAGTGTCGCTTGTCAGCACATACCAGTATCCAGACCCAGAGGATGCCTTCAGCCGGGAGCCTTTTGTAGTCAAATTCTCAGCTCCTGGTACTGGTGAGTTTGATACTGCCCTCTCCCAGACCTACCACCATTAGGCTCTCCTTGACTCTCATAGTCCCACCTTCCACAGCTGCCAAGGAGCTAGTGCTGATCCCCTTGCATGCAGCACCACATCAGGCGGTAGCAGAGATCGATGCCCTCTATGATGTGTACCTCGATGTGATTGACAAGTGGAACACTAATGTAGGTAACCTCCACCCCCACTTCTTAACTCACATCCTGGAATACTAAAGGTGTGCTCAGGTCTGGACCACTGAGCACTGCTAAGATCTACCTGCTGTGCTTGCCCACAGGACATGGTGTTTCTAGGTGACTTTAATGCCGATTGCAAGTACGTAAAGGCACATGACTGGGTATCAATCCGTCTGCGCAGTAGTGAGGTGTTCAAATGGCTCATCCCAGACAGTGCCGACACCACAGTGGGCAACTCAGACTGTGCCTATGACCGGATTGTAGTGAGTGGTGCTCACTTGCGTAAGAGCCTGAAGCCCCAGTCAGCCTCTGTTCACAACTTTCAGGAGGAATTTGGCCTAGATCAGACCCAGGTGAGTGTGGGATAGGGCTAGTGAAGATGGATCAAGCAGACACACTAGCCCTCTCAGGGGAGGACTCAGAAATGCTTGCTGTGAGTGTACAAGCTCCCTCCAGCAAAGGCAGTTATAGCCCAGGAAGGACTATTGGCATATTCCTGTTCCTTTGGGGTGTACGGGTAATATGGGGCCCGAGGGTGGCCATGCAGACTTCACCACTCCACTTCTCAGCTGATGAGGCTGCATTCTCCTTCCAGGCTCTTGCCATCAGTGACCATTTTCCTGTGGAAGTGACCTTCAAGTCTCACTGACAGCTATGGCCTAGCCAGGATATACCACCTGCAGACTCTGGCCCCGTGGAATGGTCCCACAATGGATCACTGGGTGGCAGGCCACCCACCCATTGAGAATACAGGCCAGGGCTAGCTGGTGTGGACAAAGACTATGGACACATTACAGGATTGTTCAGAGCCCGTTTCCTCATTTGTAAGGTGTGCTAACATCACCTAGCTCATAGGGCTGTTGTGAGGAGTACCCATGAAAGGAACCAGAGCAACATCAAGCACATAGCTGCATGTTTAATAAACAAGTCACTCTTGGCCAGGACTATCCCCAGGTCAGATGAGGCCCCTCTGCTCTGAGACCTCTGTCCCTAGGCTGCAAAACTTAGCCTTAATGCCCATTAGGTCTATGTTTCCATTGCTCTCAGGGAATTGGATGGCTTAGCTTGTGCACTTCTCAGCCTGGTAGAAGCTGTGCCAGTTCCCTGTCCTTATTTCCTTTACACAAGCTTCAAATGCTTCCACGAATCATAACCCCAAGTGCTTGGGTAGTAATGTCTTTCTGGGCCCTGCTGGATTTCTGCCTTCAGGGATCGATCATAAAACGCTAATCTGAAGCAGAAGCTGGGTTCTAACCTAACTGCAGGAGCAAGGGAGGCTGCACCCATCCCGGTGCAAAATATTTCTGCAAAATAAGGGCAATTGCTTGGCACTAAAGTCCTGTCCTGAGCCTGTACCCTTGCTTGGGTTGAGGCCTTCAAAGGAGCCTTATATCACTTTCCCCCTAAAGTACTGGAATGGGAAAGGCCCTGAGAGGATGGAGATTTTATGCTCTGGTGTGCATCACTTTAGGAGCAGGAAATATCTCTTGGAACACAGGGCTCTCATGAGGTTTCTGGTTGTTCAAACTTCTCATCTTGTGTGTGTGTGCCTGTATTTATTTATTTCTGTGTGTGCCTATGGAGATAAATAAAACATCTTTAGTGGCATTAGAGAAATAGGTCTGAGGGGGCTGGAGAGATGGCTCAGAGGTTAAGGGCACTGACTCTTCCTGAGGTCCTGAGTTCAATTCCCAGAGACCACATGGTGGCTCACAACCATCTGTAATGAGATCTGGTGCCCTCTTCTGGTCTGCAGGAATACATGCAGGAAAAAGGCTGTATACATAATAAATAAATCTTAAAAACAAAATAGAGAGAGAGAGCGCAAAATAGGTCTGAATCACATGGAGAAAAACCCTTGTGATGGATTAGAAAGTTTGGTTCTGTTTGTTTTGGCATTTCTGGGATTAAACCAAGGGCCTAGAGCATGCTAGGTAGGTGCTCTAGTAAGCCTTATTCTCAACCTACAAGTCTGGTTCTTGCAAAATCTAATGTAAGATTCAGGACCTGGCACTGAATAAGCAGTACTGGTCTGGGGCTGCAGCTCAGCGGGCTGGCCTAGCATGCCATGGGTTTGGTCCCCAGCACCACATAAACCAGTAATGCCAGCACGCAGGAGGCAGAGCAGAGGCAGGAGACTTGGCATTTAAGGCAGTCCTCATTTAAATAGTCGGAGAGTCATCTTGGGTACATGAGACCCTGTCTGGGACAGGAATGGGGGCGTAGTCAGGGAAAGGTGGCAGCTCTTTAGTCACCATCCTCCACATTCCTGTTCCTCAAGTTCCTCTGATAGTTGCCTACTCTTTTTAAATGAAAACATGGGGCCCCGAGGATTTTCTCTGGAGGTTCTGGAGGGCGACAGAGACTGTCTGGCCTGGCCTTAAAAGACAGTTAGTAAAGGCCAGGAATAGGCCAACCTGCAGGTTGTTCACAATTCTGCTTTAAGATGGACATGCAGTATGATCTTATAAGATCCAGAGTGACTTGTGCTCACAGAGAAGAAAGGTTCTTGTGGTTGGGGCTGTAGGCCCTAGGCTTCAAGGAACACCTTATGAGTATGCATTTGTATAAGACAGAGGTCAAGGAGGTATCTACCTTGTTTTGAAACAAAGTGTCTCACTGGCACTCACTAATTAGGCTAGACTGGCTGGCCAGAGAATCCCAGAGACCTGTCTGTTCCTGTCTGTCCAGTACTAGATTATAAGTGCATCCACTATGTCTTGCTTTTTACTAAGCTCTCATGATAGTTGGTGAGACCTTACTGACAGATCTATTCCCCTAGCTAACAGGACTGTCAAAAATAATGTGTATGTGTGTGCGTGTGTAAGTGAAACGTGTCTGGGTGTTTTGCCTGCATGTGTGTATGTGCACCATGTGCACACAGAGCACAGAAGGCATTGGATCTCCTGGAACAGATGAGTATGAGCCACATGTCAGTGCTGGGATTTGAACCTGGGTCCTGTGCAAGAGCAGTCAGTGGTCTTAACCACCGAGTTGCCTCTACATCCAGGAACAGGACATTTTAAGGTCAGGAACACAAGAGCTAAGACAATTTTTAAGTTGAAAAAGACCTTGTTTATAATCCTTGGGACCAGTGGGTCCCCAGAAGGCACATGTGACTAAATGCCCGTGTGGCAGCCTTGCTTTAGCCCCTCTTTTGCTTGAGCTTTTCTAAGTACACCTGCAGGGACTTCTGGATAGAGTCTCGGGAGATGAAGCTGATGAAATTCTGGATGTCAGCCTCCCGCTGCTTGATCAAGTTGTCTGCTGTGGCCTTTCGCATCATGCTCTTGGTCAGCTGCCGAGAATGGTCTAAAGAAAATGGGGTTATTTGTGAAACCTTCAGAGAATGTGGGGCCATTCCTGGCTGTTCTATACTTTCTTCAAGTATTGAAATACAGACTCCTAGAGAAAGAAAGCTGGGTGTCTTAGCATTTGGGCAGCTAAGGTGGGATAGGGAGTTCAAGGCCAGACTGAAATGAACACCCTGTCTAAACAAACTCACATAAATAAAATGTAGGAGCAGAGAGGAGGGTGCTACAGGAGTTTTTGTTATTGCTGTTGCTGAGACAGTCTCTTTGTAGCCCAGGGTGGTCTTTAACTTCTTTCTTGCCACTATGCCTGCCTCTTAAAATTTGCTATTGAATGTCATTTTTAGGGCTAGGCACACAGGTCAGTGATAGAACACATGCACAAGTTCCATTTCCAGCACCTCAAATAACCAACATGTCATTTTCTTTGAATTGTATTATTGGCCACATTTTCCATATCAGTAGATTCTTTCTTGTGCATGTAGAGAGAGACTGGCTACTTGCTTCAAGGAGTTCCTGCCAGATGGGTCCTTTTAGGGAAACTCAAAAGGATACTTTGTGACATTTGGGAAATACATGAAATTAACATATTTAATGGTGTCTTGTGGTACATGCCTGTATCTCCACATTGGAGAAGCGAAGGCAGGGGGATTCCAAATGAGAAGACATGGGTTAAGTAGGTTGTTTCAGGGGAAATCTTAGCTAAACAATGAGACCGTCTCAAAAAAGTCAAACACCAAAAAGTCTTTAGTGCAGCTGTGTCAGCCAGCTTTGTCCCTGATGGCTTCCCAGCTCCTGAGAGCTTTCTGTAAGTACAGAACCTGACTTGTTAGAACTTTGCTTTCATCACGATGGATCAGCAGAATCACCAGAATGAGAAAGGTGACACACTTTCCTTAACGTGACCCAGAACTGCCCTCTGCTCGCTCCTCACCTGGAATGGCCAACCACTGGACCATCACTGAGCGAGCCTTGCTGTATATCTGGTCCTCAGGCACTACTTCATCCACCACACCCAGCTTGAGGGCCTCTGCTGGTGGGAAGAGCATCCCCAGCTGAAGGGCACGCTCTGCTGCTCGGTGTCCAATGGTGTTCACAAAGTTATCTTTTAACCTGAAATGAAGACATCATCCTTCACCTCCTTGCTAGGAGGGAGGGTGTATAAGTACAGTCCCTGGTCTTACCAGAAGGGGGCAACAATGCCAAGCAGGCTCTCATTCAGCCCTATGGTGTATTTGGGGTTGTCAGCCATAATCCTATAGTCACAGGTAAGAGCCATGAGGCAGCCTCCAGCTGGAGAGGCACCCTGTAGAGAAGCAAGAGAGTCAGTTTCCAGTAATATTCCTTAGACAGGGCAGAGGGTGCCCGAGCTTCCAAGGGCTGAGGGTAGGCATGAACTTCTGGCACTGTAGTGGCATCTGGACCAAGTATGCCAGAACTCAGATTGTCCACCCACAGATCAGCTGCTGAGCTGGGGTCTTAACAGACTGAATTTTTTCTACAGGCTCAAAGGCCTTAGTGTGTGGCTCTATAACTTTTAGGGGCCAACAATGACTCTTGGGACAGCAAGTTGCATGTTCTTTTGGAGCTTTTATCTGATGCTAATGATCACAAGCTGTGGAGCTATTATCTCCCCTGGCAACCAGTCCTACCAGGGTGCCTGGGAACCCTAAAATGGCAGTGTCCACATTGCATGCACCCTGATGACCGGTACTGAGACAGGTTACCAGTGTCTCTTCTCCAGGCCCCTATATTCTCTATCACCTAACTTTGTATCTTCAATTCTTCCTTTATGCCCCACACCCATGGCTCTGATCCTTAAAGCTATCCCCTCAGAAAACCCTTGCTTTTTCCTTGTCTTTTTGTTTTTTCTTCCCGAGGCAGGGTTTCCTGTGCAGCCCTGCTGCTCAGGGTTCATTCCAGCCGCCAGGTCCAGGTCCAGGTCCCCACCCATTAGCATTTCCTCTATCTTGTCTGGCTCAGTAACATCAAAGTCTGAGTGTCCCTTGCTTCTGGGCCGGCCCTTGAGAACTGTGTACTCACATTGATAGCAGACACTAACATCAGCTTGGACAAGTAGAGCCTCAGCCACAGCTCCTGCACAGCCTTCCAGTACTCCGCGTAATGGGCCGGGTTCCGGCCATACATCTCCTTCAAGTCCAGGCCAGCTGAGAAAATCCCCGGGAGATCCTGTCGGGAGAAGCCAGGATTATGTTTGGCTAGTAAGATGAGTCTTCCATGGATTCCAGAACTGAGGTTGTTGAGGACCCTCTCCTGGACTGTCTGATTTCTACAATGTTCTTTTTCTAGCTTCAAACTAGAAAGGACAGAACAGGTAAGAGTGAGTACTGCTCAGACACCTATGTACCAGCCAGGCTTACACCTGAGCACACCTCTTTGTACTCAGTTCTGTCTTTCCCACATGTTCTGATCTACCTCCCAAGGTTAAGCAAGGGCAGAAAGTTCTGGGGCAGAAGGAAGATCTAGAAGATCTGCATAGCCACACATGTGGGTCCTAGTTTGATGTCTCAGGTCTGACAGCCTCCAGAGCAGCTATGAGAAGAGCAGGTGGAGGAGGAGCCATTGGGCTACAGGGAAGCCATAAGGACAGAGCCTTGTCAGGGTCAGCACCAAATCCTGGGAGATGAGCCAAATGCTGCCTGCCATGTGAGAAGAACCCTCTGCATGGTTTCTTAGCCAGCACTTGAGTCCATGGGTGGTAGACTTGATGCAGAACAGCACCTGCTTCAGCAAGAACTAGATATTTTGTTTGCCCAACAGCACCACCTGTCGGCAGTGAGGGGCTGGAGTCACAGTTCAGCTGAGTCCATGTTTTGGACTGACCTCACTTTATGTGTTAATAAAATGCATCCCTCTTTAACGTAACAGGCACAACCATGCTAGATTCAGATGTTCCCCCAACCCCCAGGGTGGCACTATGTAGCCCTGGCTGTTCAGGAACTCACTCTGTAGACCAGGCTGGCCTCTAACTCGGAGATCCACCTACCTCTGCCTTCCAAGGGCTGGGATTAAAGGAGTGCACCACTATGTGTGGTTAATTCAGATGCTTCTAATGAGAATGGGTACAGTGGACCTGTGGGTCATCTACACATTGGGTAGAGGATGGCAGAAGGGACAAGGCTGAGAGGACAATGGCCACATGGAATAACAACAGGAGCAACAAAAACTTGGCCTTGGTGAATGTCTGTAATCCCGGCACTTGGAAAGAATCAGCAGATTTAGGTTTCTATCTTTCAATTATTTATTTCACATGTTTGAGTGCTTTGTCTGCATGTGCCTTGTGCCTGCAGAGGCCAGAAGAGGGTGTCAGACGTCCTGGGACTAGACTTACAGATGGTTGTGTCCCAATGTGGGTACTGGGAAATGAACCCAGGACCTCTGTAAAAGCAGCCAGTGCTCTTAACTACTGAGCCACCTCTCTAGTCCCCAGATGCAAATTCTGTGTGAAGAAAGATAAAGTACTCCTACTAGTTATACCAAATAGACCCGAAGAGATATGAGTCAGCCCATTTCTGTGATTTGGGAAGACAATACATTGTTAGGTGAACAATGGTCTTAAGTCACATTCCAATTCTTACCTCTAGTGTCTGAATATGGCCTATGTAGGAATAATCTAATGTTTATTCCCACAAATAAGCAGTAGAAGCTTTTGACTCCTTTCTCCTGAATTCCTACTCCTGGTATTATCAACAGCAGGAGCAGAAACAGGAAGAGGCTGAACTGTTTATCCCCCTGAAATCCATCCCACCCGAAGATCTGATGTTTCATCTGTCCTGGGTGAAATTAACATTGTTAATACCAGCATTACTATAAGACCACCAGTCATAGCACAGTATCAAACCCCATTATTCATGTCACCTGTCCTAATTCCAGTAGCCCTCTTCCCCTCTGGTCCTCACTGCAGGAATTTCTGTATTCTTAATTGCCTGAAACTTAAACACAACCTTCCTGCTGGAGGAAGAGACATCTCTTCTGAGTTATCAGCCAATAAGTTTAAATTTTAACCCTTCCAGGCTTCAGGATAACTTTCCATATCTTTACTTATTATTCAGCTCCCCCCATCCCCATCCACACCCCCACCCCCACAAAGGACATTTGGATATACAGGAATAGTTTGAGCTATGATGTCTACGGTTTCTTAGGATTTATCATATGAGCTCATCACACATTCCCAGGCCTTGATGCAGACATTTGAGTTTGTTTCACCTCAGCCACAATTATTGCTACTCTAACGAGTTTCAACTGACTTGCTACACTTCATGGAGGAGACATTACTGCTATACTATGAGCACTACATTTCTTTTCCTATGAACAGTTGGGGGTATAGTATTTTGAATGTAACTGGCCCCCATAAGCTCATAGGGAATAGTACTATTGGGAGGTGTGGCTTTGCTGAAGTAGGTGTAGTCTTGTTGGAGGAAGTATGTCACTGTGGATGTGATGCTAACGCCCTAACCAGCGTCAGACCACTTCCTGCACCAGGTCTGCTTGCGTGCCACCATGTCACACCATGATGACAATAGACTAAACCTCTGAAAATGTAAGACACCCCAATTAAATGTTTTTCCTTTATAAGAATTTCTGTGGTCATGGTATCTCTTCACAGCAAACAGAAACCCCAACCAAGATAGGGGCCTTCCTGGAGCTGCTCTAACCCTCACCTGATGTTGCCCTTCATGCTCACTTCCACTCTGTCTTTTCTATAGGAGCTGTCTTCGCTATTATGGCTGTGATTGTCCACTGATTTCTACTAATTTCAGGGTATAATCTAGGCAACACATAAGCAAAAGCTCATTTCTTATCATATTTGTAGGGGTAAACATGACATTTTTTTTCCCTCAGTTTTTCTAGAGCTCTGACTATTCAGATACTTACACCACAAGAAATGCAGTATACTCTATAGGCTCATTCATCTCACTGATGATGGCTTTTATTATAATCTTTATAATTTGAGAAGTCTTTGCCTCCAAACAAGAGGTCCTCTCAGTAAAACAGTTATCCAAACTTCAGAGGAATACCACACCAGGTGCTCCAGTTCCCAAAGCCTCCAATTATTGTTGGTATCACCATAAAGAGACTGATGACAAATGCATGGGCAGTAACAACAAAAAGTGATGTTTCAAAGTGTTCTGAGTCTTTGGAGAAAGGTGAACTATAGTCCTGACATGATTGTAACGAGTAAGGCTTGGTTTATGTGATTTGACTTCCTTCTAGCATGTCATGGTGGGCTCATGTGATTCAAATTCCTGATGCTAGAAGGACTGATGTATTAAGTAGGGGGACTTCAAGTAGATTAAGTGGAACAATTCCTGTAGGTGGTCAGCATCCACCTAGGTCACCTAGGCACAAGGCTGGAGTGATAGGAAGCTCTGATAGGGGGGTGAGGGGACAAGACCAGGTACAATAAATGATTCCATAATGAAGGTCTTTCTGTACAATAGGGGTGCAGTGGCCTCCGAATTATCACGTCATCAATGATATATGATAGGAGTGTTTGTTATACAGCCTAAGGACAGTAAGATAGAAGAGTTAAAATGGAATCACACTAGTAAGCCAGAGATCAGACAAAAGTGGAGAGGGTTCCAGTTAGTAGTATTGGGCTTGAGTTAATTTTGTGCTATGTGCTTGGTGGGTCATTATGTGTTATCACATAAATAAAAACTGACTAGGAGGATAGAAACATAGGTTTGAATAGGAGCTAAAGCAAGTTCCAGGACAGTTAATAGGATAAGAATAATGAATGTAACTGTGGCAGTTGGTGGACTAATGCTTTTTTTGTTATTATGCTAGATGTTTTATTGGGGGAAGGGAAGGGAGTGGGGAAAGGGAAAGGAGAATGGAGAGGAGAGAGGAAGAGATAGAGAGAACAGACTAATGCTTATTAATACTACTGCAGCACCACCAATTAGATGTATTAAAGGTGGCCTGCAGTGATATTAGCTATGAGACGAATAATTAAGGCTATGGGCTGAATAAATAAACTAATAGTTTCAATGATGCCAGGCAGTGGTGGTGCACACCTTTAATCCCAGCACTTGGGAGGCAGAGGCAGGTGAGGTGGATCTGTGTAAGTTTGAGGTCAGCCTGATCTACAGAGAGAGTTTTAAGATAGGCTCAAAGCTACACAGAGAAACCCTGTCTTGAAAAATAGACAAACAAAAAATACAAAACAAACACAAAGAACCTAGTAGTTTTAATGACAATAAGCATAGGAATCAATGAGAGATGAGTCTGGTGGCCACTGTCCAGGGTAGTGATTGTTTCCCTACTGGGCAGCCTGGCCTTCTGGGGCTTGATGACTGTTAGCTTCCTGTACCTTTACTGACCACAATGATGACATGTTATTGTTCAATGGCCCTATCTGGTCTCTGTATTACCATAGCACATAGTGTAGGGAGACATGCACACTTTATGCCTACTCTTAAAGGGAGCAGACTGTCATTGCACCTTACCAAGAGGCTAAAGAAGTTGTACAATGGCAGAACACTTGCCCAATATTCAGATGGCCCTGGGTCAATCTCCAGCATCTCCCCAACAAAGGAACAAAAAAGCCCCCAAATCTTTATTTATTGGGAGCTGGAGACGTAGCTCAGGTGGTAGAGTGCTTTCCTACCATCCACAAAGGCCTGGGTTTGGCACAGCAACACTTTGGCTTTAACTACACAAGGTGGAGGCTAGTCTGGGATATAAGAACCTAACTCCAAACAACAATAAGAACAAAGGGGCTGAAATGTGGCTACACATCTGACTTTGTGTCCTGGCATTCGGGGGGGGGGGGGATGCCCAGTCTGGCCAGAGACCATACCTCTGAGGACTTCTTACCTACTGTACCACCTCCCCTCAATGGCCATTTGCTGACTTCAGTGACACTGCTGTCACTAATGCTGCGCCTGGCATTTGCCAGCACTTGCAGACAATGCCCAGACTCCCCTCAAGAGTTCAGATGGCAGAAGAATTTGCCCTTTGATACCTGACCTAAGATGGTCCAAAGGCAGAGTACAGGCTTTCAAGGCAGGTACCCTGCTGGAACTAGCTGAGGGAACCAGCAGCTCCTGCGGAGGGGGCTGGGGGAGGTACCCTGGGATATTTGCTAATGACTGGATGGCAACTCCTGGGAAGACAAAGTTCCCACAGAGACTGTTCAGCAGGTTCCTGAGGACAGTCCAGGCCTAGGACATGCCTGGGAAAGCTGCTCTCCTGGAAACTGTTCTAGAGGTCCCTGGTGGTGTCAGGGTTACTGGTGACGCCATACCCTAAGATGAAGAACTCCAGATTTTTCAGGTTCCCATTCTTGACCACAGTCAGGGCTGGAGGTGTGTGGCCTGAACGGGCACCTACCGAAGTGAGGATGACACCACGGAAGGTCTTGTCATTCTCTAGCTTCTCCAGGCTGATGACAAACTCTGTCAGAAACTCCAAGCTAAGGGAGTTCACTGGGGGGTTCTTGAACTTCATCACTGCAATTCCTAGTTTAAAAAAAGAAAGAGTTCTCAATAAGTGCTCAGGCCAGGTCACTCCTGGACACCCCTGGCCCTCAGTCTTGTCTATGAGAGCTGCAGAATTTGGGGTTTCAAAAGTTCAGGCAGACCATGGCATACACCTTTAATCTCAGCACTTGGGAAGCAGAGGCAGGCAGATTTGTGAGTTCAAGGCCAGCCTAGTCTACAGAGTGAGTTCAGACAGGCCTTGAGGTGGTGAGGCATGCCTTTAATCCCAGCCCTTGGGAAGCAAAGGCAGGTAGATCTCTGTGAGTTGAGGCCACCCTGAGCTACAGAGCAAGTTCTATAACAGCTAGGGCTGCATAGAGAAATCCTGTCTTGAAAAGAAAACAAACAAACAAACAAACAAAAAAAAAAAAAACAAAAGACCAAAAAACTCTAAAAAACCAAACAAAAAATGACCACAAGTAACAAGAATAACAACCAAAAGTTTAGACAGGAGCCTGGTGTGCTGGTGAGCACACCTTTGATTCAGTCTCAGGAGACAGAGGTGAACAGATCTCTTTCTTTTAGGCCAGCCTGGTCTTCAGAGAAAGTTCCAAGATTCAAGAGAAACCCTGTCTTCAAAAAACAAAAACAAGTTAAAGCAGGAGCTAGTAAGATGCCTCAATAGATGAAGAAAGCTATTGATTTGGGAATTCTGGTTTCCCATAAGCTTGTAGATGGTGAAGTCCTGTGTGCCCTAGGACAACCTCAATCTGCTATTGATTAGACAGCCTTGATCTGCTGTTTGCTTCTTAGAGAGCTCATCTCCTAAATAACCTCACTAGTCTGGAGGATGGAGGTTAAGAGCTGTCTCAGGTACCGAGGACAATGCCTCTACCCTCTTGCTTCAGCTTCCCTTTCAGGTCCATTCCTCTTAGTCTCTTTGTGTGTTTGATTTTTATTGAGACAGGTTTCTCTGTGTGGCCCTGGCTGCCCTGGGACTCACCCTGTACACAGGTTGACCTCAAGGTCACAGAGATCCTCCTCACCTGCACCTGCCGGGACTAAAGGATTGCTGTACCACTGCCTGGTCTGAAATTATAACTGCTACAAAAACCCCAAACAAATTCCTGAATGAATAGGGAATCTGCTCTCACTTTCTATAAAGAAAAAGAGGACTGAAAACAAAACAAACAAAAAATCCCAGCCAGGAATGGTGTTGGACACCTTTAGTCCTAGCACTTGGAAGACAGAGGCAAAAAGACTAAAATGAGTTCAAGACCCTATTTCAAAAAAAAAAAAAAAATAATATATATATATATATATATATATATATATATATATATATATATACATACATACACACACACACATACTAATTCCAGCCAGGCCCCAGAACATGGGAGGCAGAAGCAGGTGAATCTGTGAGTTGGAGGTCATTGTCTATAGCGCTTAGAGCTAGTTCCAGGACAGGTAGGGCTGTTACACAGAGAAAACCTGTCTCTAAACAATAACAAAAATGCAAAAACACCAAGGTTCCAAGGACTCATAGGAGTGAACTTAAACATATCCTAAGAGGAGATGGAAATATGATTGAAAGGGGCAAACTAAACTTCACTTCGAATAATTTACACTCGGGAAAAATTGTATAAATGTGACAAATCCTTAAGTTCCCAGTCAACTCTTATTATTCATACTAGAGAAAAATAAAGGGATCAGACCCTCACTCAGCCCCCTGCTTTAGCAGCCATGACGGGCTACAGAAAAGACATGTAGGTCTCTGACTCAGCACATAACACAAAGAAACTTCAGACCCTCTAGCCTCCTAGATACTTGATTCCTGAGAACTATTTGGCCACAAAAGAAACTCCAGAGGAGACAAAAAACTCCCCTCTTGTCTCCAGGATACAGTCTGAAAACTACTGATATCTATGAACAATAGGCCACCTGCAAGTAATGAGACAAAACCACAGAAACCACAGAATGTTCCCTCTCAGTACTGAGCAATAAAAATAAATGGTACACAGGTATTTCATACGAAAATATGGCTTTGAGAAAGTCCCCTGATTGTTCTGTCAACCAATCAGAAACCAACTGGTACCTACTGCTGTAATCCTTCGATTTTTGCCTTTAAAAACCTGGCAGTGCACAGGGAACTCACTTCCTCTGGTGGCTGCTGCATCAGCCAGCTACACAAGGTCCCTGTCAGGGTTGGATGAACAATAAACCTTGCTATTACAGTTCAGTGGGTCTGTCTCCCTGGTGGTCACTTTGGGGATCTTTGTGACTTGGGCACAACAATGATGTGGGTATGGGCAATGGCTGCTCTTCCAGCAGACCCAGGTTAGATTCCCAGCAGCCATGTGGCAGCTGGAAACTCCAGTTCAGGGGATGTGATGCCATCTTCTGAATTCTATGGGTTCCAGCCATGTATATACACAACAAACATGCAGGCAAGACCCCTATACACATAATTTTTTTTCCCCCTTGAGACAGGGTTTCTTTGTGTAGCCTTTGATGTCCTGGAATTCCCTCAGTAGACCAGGCTGGCCTCGAACTCTCAGAGATATACCTACCTCTGCCTCCCAAGGGCTGCAAATTAAAGGTGTATACTGACACTGTCCTGCAAATTTTTTTTTTTTTTTTTTTTTTTTGGTTTGTTTTGAGACAGGGTTTCTCTGTGGTTTTGGAGCCTGTCCTGGAACTAGCTCTGTAGACCAGGCTGGCCTTGAACTCAAAGAGATTCGACTGCCTCTGCCTCCCAAGTGTTGGGATCAAAGGGGTAAGCCACCAACTCCCAGCTGCAAAGTAAATTTTTTTAATCAAAAAATATCAAGCATATTTTTATGCAATCCAATTAAATAGGCCAAATGTAAAACTAGAGGAAAACTCTTCACCTTTCCCTTGCTGACCTTGCAGCCCAGGAGTAAAGTCCTTATTAAGAAAAAGGCCTGGGGATAGCATTTTCAGCTTTGCTGGCAACACAAGTGACTATTACAAGTAGTCAGGTCCAAGGCAGTTGGAGTTTTGGAGTTAGGAATATGTGCTGCTGTGTGTCAAAGGAAACAATTTATAACTTGAATGTGGTGATGTAGGATTGATGACAATTCAAGGTCAGCTTGGGCTACATAGAGGCCCAGACTAGACTGCTCTAAAGAGCAAGAAGTCAAAGGACTGGCAAAGCATCAAGGACAGTCTGGGCATGGTGGTGCATGTGTTTAATACCAGCACTTGGGAGGTAAAGGCAGATGGATCACAACACAGCCCCAGGACAGGCATGGCTACATAGACCCTGCCTCAAACACCAAACCAAAACTAAATCAAAGCCAGGGAAGTGCCTCGGGGCCCTGAATGTTCCCCATCTTTCCAGTATCCGCACCAGATGTCCATCTAATTTTGAAGGCAGCTCAGCTGCCGGGAGACAGATCTGGCAAGGAACCTACTTTAGTTAGAAGTAGTTTTCCCTTGATATGATATGTCAAAACTGACAGCACTGTAGCTGCCTGTCATTTCCACTCTCAGCAGAATGCCCTAGGGCTCTAGGCCTCAAGGGCACCAAGGAGTTGACAGCAGCGGTGGTTCTCTGCCATGACTGGGATGTGGGCAGAGATCTACTGATTGTTCATCAGCCTGTCTTCTAATCTCCCTGACTTTAATTCATCAGCTTGTGATTTCCTCTTGTTCTTCTGTACCAGATTTCAGAGGAAGAGAGAACAGAGAGAACAAGTCAGAACCTGACACACAAGGAGGCTTCTAGTGGGGCTCAGCTCACACTTCTTTAGTAATTGCAGCTGAGAATGTGGGCAGTGCCCTCCTACTGTCCTCATGCATTCTGTTTATAGCATGGATGCAAACAAGGGCCTATCTCCAGGGGCACTGCAGCCACTAACCTGCTGACTGCATACCATCTGGTACTGACTAAAGAGCTGCCAAAATAAGAGACTTTTCCAGCTGAAAACTCTTCTCCAGGCCAGACAGTGGTGGTGCATGCCTTTAATAATCCTAGCATTTGGGAGGCAGAGACAAGAGGATCTCTGTGAGTTCAAGGCCAGGCAAGTCTACAGAGCTAGTTCAGGACAGCTACTAGGGCTACATAAAGAAATCCTGTCTCGAGAAAAACAAAACAAAACAAAACAAAACAAAACAAAAAAAAAAAAAAAAAAAAAAAAAAACAAAAAAAAAACAAAACAAAAAAAAAAAAAAAAAAATAAAACCCTTCTCTGAGAACAGGGCCAAGTCTTGGTGCCTGAGTTCTTTTACGACCTTTGACTTTGAGTTAAGTGGGAGAGGTAACTATGACCCAGTTACAGGTCTACATAAAGCAAACACCTCAAACTTAGTTGAGAGAAACATCTGAAATGCCCAGTTTGGCAGAGGACACTAGGGAAAAGGTAAGGAGGCAAAAGGTGAATATGAGCTAAGAGAAGTTAAATGATCTTAGTCAGCATGGGACAAGTGACCAAATTCCTGGGACAGAGTGACTATTAGATAAAATCTGATGGGAGATGTCATTCTGTATATGTTTCTCATACTGGTTAATAATAAAGCACTGTTGGCCAATAGGAAAGGAAGATAGGAGGGACTAGGAGACAAGGAGGAAATAGGAAGTAGTAAGGAGGAGTCAAGATGGAGAGTCTGAAGAAAACAGTATGCCGCCGGCTCCCGGTAAGAGAAATACATAGATCAGCAGAAATGGGTTAATAATTAAAGGCAGGGCTAGTCAATAAGAAACAAGTAACCGGGCCAACAGGATTATATCAAATACAGAGTCTCTGTGTATTATTTGGGGCTGGCATGGCAGCAGCACAAGACCAGGCGGCGGGCAGAAAAACCGTACTCCTTACAAATGGCGCCCACGTGGCTAGTAAGAACTTCCACTTAAAATTTAACAAAAGCTTAAAAACAGGTTTTACAAACAAAAGAACAGAGACAAACAAGGTTTCTTGGTAGCAGCATTTTTCTCAGTTGAACTCTGCTTTGCTAGAGACAAGCAGATATTCGCGCGGCTCCTGTAAGGGAAGATTACTTACTTTAACCGCACAGCTTTCAAATAACTCTGCTAACAATTTATTGGTGTGTATGAGAGATGGTAATGGCAGTGACCACATCTCGAAGCTGGCAGCATGCTTTCTGGGTGGCAGCGCAGACCAAGGCGGTGAACACAGCTTTCTGTGCTGGCGGGTAAAAGTACCCGCCACCATCTTTGGTAAACCGAGGCTGACACAGCTATGACTTTCATTTTAGCAATGTTGTTGTTTACCAGATAAAGGACTTGTGGCCAGACAAAGATAAAGATTTACAGTAAAGACAGTTTCATATTAAGAAAAACCTCTAAAGATTTACAGTGTGTTTTAAAATATACGTAGACATGAAAAAAAAAATGGTTTTAAAGAGACAAAGAGGAACTGGGTGTTGTAGCACACGCCTTTAATCCCAGCACTCAGGAGACAGAGGCAAGCAGATCTCTGTGATTTGCAAAGTAAACCTGGTATGCAGAGTAAATTCCAGGACAGATAAGAGTTACAAGGAGAAACCCTGTCTCAAAAAATAGAAAAGAAACAGAATAATAAAAAGCCACAGATGGAGAAAATTTGTATACTGTATGGTATTATATTGTCTTTGTATTGTTTGACTGCTGAGGAAACAACTGTTAAAACAAATGCTGCTGAATTAATTCAATGTATATATTTTGAAAATGCTTTGACTCCAAAATTTAAGTTCAAGGACAAGTTACTGGGGAAAAAGATTTCTATTTTTGTTTCCACAGAAAATAAAAAGCTGTGGATTCCTTCCAGACTAATGTGGTTTGAGCAAGCCAGACCGCCTGAAACAGAGTTCCTGATGATCCAACATTCAAAACAGCTTGAACAAGGCAGACTTGCAGACTACAGCCAGGATTTCTGCATCTTCTTAGGATCCCCATGACAGTGCCCCCTATCAGCAGGAAGTAGTTGGAAAGAACGACGCCCAAATTCCCAAATATTGTTTATAAATGTTTGTTTTCATTTAAATGGACTTGGTTATAAATGGTTAATGATCATAGCCAATTCTTTTTAAAGGTAAAAAGGGAATTATGGTATAGATATGAATACTTTGTTTTGGAATGGATTTTCATTTATTGATACAATTTAAGGTCAATGTTGTATATGTATATTTCTCTTCTTGTTTATGTATTGTGTTTATATAGCTCATTTAAAAATGTAATGTATAATTTAGTACAGATTTTAGATAGTTACCTATAATAGTCAAAACATAGCTAGGTGAGTTAGGTTTTCTAGATATGCAGATGTATTTGAGATAGATAGATATTCTTCAAATCTTTCAAAGACCTACAGAATATGGCATTTAAAATGGTTTAGGGTTTTTCTTGACAATGAGACATAATTGTTCCTGGCAACACCACCTGCGTCAGAAAGGAAGATGAAGATGGACATTGAAGAAACTCATTATGGAGTTTACTTCCAATATGGCAAGACTAGCCATTTGGACAAGATACTGCTCTTGTCTGGACTGTTTGACTTTATGCTGTATATACTGGACATGCAGGACCCACAGAAAAGTGACTGCTGATTCAAGATGGACATTGCTACAGAGATCCTGCTTCATGGAAGAGTCTTCGAGACAGTATGCAGGACACAGAGAAAAGTGACTGACAAACTGCCAATACAAGAAGACAGTTTAAAGTTTCCTGTGTTGCTGAAGAGTCTGCCAGACACACTATGGCCTATGGGCTGAAGATGGAAGATTACAAAAGAACTTCGGGTGACCAGGCAGTGAGTTGTCCCTGTCATTTCTAGAGTTTATACTATCCTTCTGTGGTCTTTGAGGGACTTGAAGACAGAGAGTTATGGTTACAGTTTTCCTTAGTATTAAAGATAAGTTACTTAGACTTTAGACACACAAAGATATGATAGATGATGGAATATTTTCTTCAAATCTTGCTAAATGTTAATGGACTAAATAGTGTTAACTGTGATTCTTATTTGATAACTGTTATGTGATATATTTTGCTATGTTAAGGTTAAAACCCTTCTTTTTATTTAGACAGAAAAGAGGAGATGATGGGAGATGTCATTCTGTATATGTTTCTCATACTGGTTAATAATAAAGCACTGTTGGCCAATAGGAAAGGAAGATAGGAGGGACTAGGAGACAAGGAGGAAATAGGAAGTAGTAAGGAGGAGTCAAGATGGAGAGTCTGAAGAAAACAGTATGCCGCCGGCTCCCCGGTAAGAGAAATACATAGATCAGCAGAAATGGGTTAATAATTAAAGGCAGGGCTAGTCAATAAGAAACAAGTAACCGGGCCAACAGGATTATATCAAATACAGAGTCTCTGTGTATTATTTGGGGCTGGCATGGCAGCAGGACAAGACCAGGCGGCGGCAGGAGGAAAAACCGAAAACCGAACTCCTTACAAAAATCTTCTTGAATGATGAGTTGAGCAGAAGCTAAAATGAAATGTCAGTGCCCCTGACTTTGGAACAACTGATTTTAGAAGAAGTTTGCTAATCTGAAGTGCCTGCTAAGCAACACTGAAGAAACCATGAAACAAGTCAGAGTCTGTCTTCAAATGAAATGAATCTTTGCCAAAAAAAAACCCTGCATCATCTCTGAAGGAAACTATTATCTGTGCCAGCAAAGTTCATACACTTTAGGGTGTTTATGTATTAGTGTGAGCTAGAGTGGGCTGGATAGATGGCTTAGTGGTTAAGAATACTTACTGGCTGCTGGGCCGGGCTTGGTGGCCCACAAAGGCAGGTGGATATCTATCTGTCTGTCTATCATCTATCTATCTCATTACTCACATATACTAAAGTTGTGATAAAATATATATGGCATTAAGCCAAAATATCTGGTTACTTTTAAGTTCTGTGACACAGAGGCCCTTTATAACCAAGTGACTGTGGCATGGTATAGTGTTTTCTGTCTCTATGCATTCTAATGTTTGTTTATTCATTTGTGAGGTACTGGGATTAAACCCAAGGCCTGTCCAATGCTAGGCAAATGTTCTACTGCTAAGGTACCTCTTCAGACCTCTAATATTTTAAGATGGTTCTCTGTAGTATTTGAGATGTATTAAAATTGGTCACAGAAATGACCACTTCAACGTCTCCACCTTCTGTTTGATTCATTAGGGTTAGCACATGACCCTCCTCACAGCACTATCACTCGGGGAACCCAGACCTTGACCTACAAGACTACCTGGGAAGCTTCCTTCCCTACAGGTGCCAATACTTAGTGTTGAGAGGACAGAGTGAGGGTTAGAGTGTGACCCTAAGCTCTGGGTATAGCTGTGTTCACTGTCTCAGGTTTCTCTTCCATAAATGCATTATCTACTTGCCTGGAAAATTCTACCTCCCCCCTGCATCCTCACTTTTAAAAAAAGAAAACTACAGGAAAAACAAGTGCTACATGCAGCCCAGGCTGATCTCAACTTCACCATCCACCCTTCCGCTTCAGCCTTGTGAGGGGAGGTGCTTCCTAGGTGTTCTGACCAGAGGGGGATGTAGGGAGAGACCCTACTTGCAGCTCCCAACTTAACTAGGAAAATAGCTGCTGGGGGTCTGTGCCAGGCACCAGTATTTGCAAAATATTAAAATACTTTCAATCATTTCCATGTCAGAATGTCTTTTTCTGAAAAAGCCAGGAGTGGTGGTGCCTTTCTTTAGTTCTTCCTTTCTTCTTTTTAAAAATTTAACTTTATTTTATGTGCATTGGTATCAGATCTTCTGGAACTGAAGTAACAGGCAGTTCTGAGCTGCTATGTGGGTGTTGGGAAGTGAACCCGGGTTCCAGGGCAGCTGGGTTCTCTTTACCACTGAGCCATCTCTTCAGCCCCACCGTATTACTTTTGAGACCCTGTCTCACGGTGCTGAGACTGGCTTCAGTAGATTTACAAGCACGAGCTCCCACTGCAGGCTACAATCATTTTAAACTAACAGTTTAGGTAACAGATCATAACTTTAAAAACTTTAACCAAAACTTAAAAGCTCACACGTCTTGTCATTTAAACCACCTGGAGTGAACTTATGAAACCGAGTTTACATGTTTCTTTGTTTTTGTTTTATTTCCTCACTGCTTTTCGAAGTTCAAAGCTCTCAGCATCCGCCTGACTTCACACAGAACTGGTGGCCTTGGGTCTGGAGGGCATTAACTAATCACGTGCCCGGCTGTCACACCCCCGCCCCCCAGCACTCACTCACTCACCTGCCGCGTCCTCTGCCTCCACCAGCACCCGCTTGTTAGCGAAGCGCCGCGCGCCATTCACGGCCTCTCTGCGCCCGAGGCGGGATCCTGCGGAGTCCGGAGCACCATTAGCAAGTACGCCAATCTCGCAAACGCCGCCCTCGAACCCACCCTTTCTGAGGCTGTGCACCAGCTCCCCCGCCCTGGCCACGAACCCGCGTGCAGCAGAACACGACTCGCCACAGCCAGCGCCATCTTGTCTGTCGGCGGGGCCTGGAAGGCCACTGGCAGTGTAGCCACCACCCGGGCGTTGCAAACTCCGCCTCCCCAACCGGCCCCGCCCCACTGAGGTCAGAGGCAGCCAGTCATTCAGAAGCCTCCGGAGGACTGGGCGCGGCCTCCTGGGCCAGTAACTTGGATTTTGGTGAGACTCCCCCCAACCAGGCCCACAGCTGCTGGCAACACAGGCAGGCAGGTGTGGAGATTTGAGAGCATCTCTTGAAGGTTTCTGGCAGCTCACTGCTGGAAGGAAGCCTGCCAGGCCTCACTCAGGCATTGTAGAAATGCATGCCAGAGGAGCTGGGATTTTAAACATAAATTAATTCTAGCAGAATGGCTGCAGGGTAGTGAACAGAAAATGGCCTTAACGGAAGACTGCCACCCTGGGTTAAAACATACCCTCAAGAGTATATTTATAGCTGGGTGGTGGTGGGGCACACCTCTAATCCCAGCACTTGCGAGGCAGAGTTTAAGGCCAGTCTGGTCTACAGAGCTAGTTCCAGGACAGCTAGCTAAGATTGTTACAAAGAAACTCTGTTTCCAAAAAACACAAAACAACAACAAAAAGCAAGAGTGTGATTTTATTTTCGTCAATACTGAAAGGCCACAAAAGAAGCCACCTGCATTGTAATGAGGGGCAACCTCAACGTTTGTTCCTTCTCTCATTGTAAACGTTTATAAGTCTTCCTTCTGGCATAGACTTTTCTGTGCCGCTGAGTATGGACTCAGAAATTGGGCCACACAGCTCAGAACCAGTATGAGATGGAAAAGAAAACTATCCCCAAATCTTCCCAGAATCGGCTTCTCACCCACACGACTTACCTCACCCCAAACACAAACCCTGGGTGGCCCTGGCTGAGAGTTTTTAGAAATAAACCTAAAATGAGCTCTTAGATGAGTGAACACCACAAATCTTGACTGTAGCAAACTAAGAAGCAGTGAAAACAAGTACTCAATTTGCATTCTAATCCTAGGTTTATTCAACACAGTCCTTTCACTCTATACAAGTACAAACACAACCTTATCTAAAATGCTACAAAGTTATAAAACTCAAAACAAATTTTATAGTACTGACTGTACAATAAAACCAAAAAGAGGCAATGAATGTATACATTGCCAAGGTTAACCTGCAACATCATCATGAATGGCAGGTGATAATGGGGGTGGTGGCAGATTCCATGAGGACCCTGTAGTAGAACTGGCTCACCAACTTCTGAGAATAACAGAGACATGGGGACAGGGAAAGGGAACATGGTCAGACCTACAGCCCAGCCGCTTGGTCCCCTGTCTGCAGACATGGCACAGCAACAGTAAGGACATGACCAGGTGGTGTGACAGGTTCTCGGTCACCCGTGGAAAATGGTGTAATGCATTATGGAGGTTTGCTTGTGCCAGCTATCTCTGCTACCAGCTGGATGGGGTGAACTTTCTAGCCAGCAAACGACAGGGTACCTCTATGGGGACAGTCCTGAATCAACAGTACTACCTCTGCAGCCAGAATCCTCCTGAAGAGGAGATATCTCAATGGCTGTCTTCAAAGACCACCCTGTACGGGATCCTTCCCTACAGATCCGAATTTGGCTAACGAAAGGACAAACTGAGTTGGGGGAACATAAGTTACAGAGGTACGAATCAATGTCCCTGCTTATCGGGAGGAGTTGGAGCTGGAGCGGCTCCTATGGCGGCGGCGGCCAGGAGATCGAGACCTCCTACGCACAGGAGACCTGCGCCTTGGGGATCGAGACCTGCAAGAAGAGAAATCAGGTCAGCCAAAAGCAAAAGTTCTAAACAGCATAGCTATGGAGGCACACTGGCCTTTTCTAAGACAGTCATAACTTTGTTTACAACCATATGAACTGTGGCTTCTGCTATGTCAGACCCTGAAGCTTCTCTCCCCCCCCCCCAACAGGGTTTCTTCTCTGTGTAACCCTGGCTGTCCTTGACCTCAGAGATCCAACTGCCTCTACCTCCTGTGTGCTGGGATTAAGGCATGTGCCACCATGCCAAAAAGGCCACCCAGGAAAGGCTTGCACCTCGTTTGGTGGGGCCTGTGCTAGCTCAGACATTACAGAGACAGTTCTTTGGAAGGGCCTCATTTGCCTGCCAATAACATATTTTGACTGTCCTTTCTCTGACCAGTTCCCAAGCACTATATGTTGGATCTGCTTTCTGCATTCAACCTTAAAAGAATGAACAGCCATGAAGAACCTCAAAATCATCACAGCCATTTAGGTGTACAATTCCAAATTAACTCACCTCCTCCTCATCCGTGGGGGTGACCTACGCCACATGGGAGGTGGTGGAAGCATTCTCCTAGGTGGACTGAATCGCCGTGGGGGTGGCCGAGGCCAGGGTGCCAACACAGCAGTAGCAGTGATCTCTTGGCCATCAATTTGTCCTGTAGAGAAAAGGGACACTTAACATATTCATACCTGTGACGGTGTGGTGACACACGCCCAAAATCTCAGCACTCAGGAGGTGGAGTACCCTTAATTAGCTTTGTCAAATGAAACAGGGAGGTAGATGGCCACACCTTTAATTCCAGCATTTGGAAGCAGAGACAGAACAGGTGGATCTCTTGAGAATTTGTAGCCAGCCTGGTCTACACTGTAAGGTCCAGATAAGGCCAGATAGGGGTACATAGGGAGACCCTGTCTCAAATACAAAACAAAACCCCACCTACCCCGATAAGCACCAAGCCAGGTGCTCAGCAAACCAAGGTAAATAATCATTAAAGAACCCCAGATATCTGGGCAGCGGTGGTGCACACCTTTAATCCAGCACTTGAAAGGAAGAGGCAGGTGAGGTGGATCTTTGTTGTGAGTTTAGAGATCAGCCTGGTCTACAGAGGGAGTTCCAGGATAGCCAGGGTTGTTAAAAACACAAACCAGGAACAGGACATGAGAGCTCAGAGATACTAACTGAAACAGGAACAACTTCCCAGAAGACAGGCAACCAACCACACAAAACTCTGAAGAATGTGAACCCTCTGAACCCTGCTCTGTAGAAGACACTTTTGTCTTCTACAGAAGAAGGACCAACAGTGGAACAAATGACAAGCTAGCACAAAGCTTGAGGGCAGGACGGAAGGTGACACCAGTAGCCGAGCTTCCTTTTTTGAGACAGGGTCCTCCTACATACCCTGGCTGTCCTGGATTTCACTAGGTAGACCAGACCAAACTTGAACTCACAAACCCACCCACCTCTGCCTCCCAAGTGCTGGATTAAAGGTGTGAGCCACCATATCTTGCTCTGAATTTCCCCCGTTTTTAAAGGACAACAGGAAGCTCAGTTGCAGACTGTCTCCACATCTAGGGTCCCCAGAACTCCAACCTAGATCCTCAGTGTCAACAATGGGCACAACTCTTCTGACCTTGCAGTACCCAGAGACTAATTCGGGCATATCCATTTAACTCCAGAGGTTAAATATAACTAAACCCAGCCTAAGCTAGATGCTGGCTCACAGCCAAACAACTCCAGTAAATGAATTAAAAGAAGTAGCTAAGTATCAAAGTAAATCCACACACAAAGGCAGTCATTGAAAAATAACAACAAAACTCCAACTAAAATGTTTAAGATATTTGTAAAGCTTAACAGGCATCGAGCTGCCAGTTCTTTCCCAGCTACCTACATTCTAGAGCTAGACATAAACTGTATTCTCTAAAACGATGATTTGAAGACAAATGGAAACTGACCACCAAAAACCATTACCTAGCCAGACAATGGTGGCACACACCTCTAATCCCATCACTAAGAAGGCAGAGGCAGGAAGGAGGATCTCTGTGAGTTCAAGACCAGCCTGCTCTATACAGCTAGTTTCAGGACAGCTGGAGTGGTTACAGAGATACCCTGTTTCAAATCCTCCTGCACCAAACAAAATTAAACAAACACAAAACAACTCACTCCACCAATATAGTTACATTAAAAAAACATAGTCTTAAGAGACTTGTATGGTGCAGCAGAGCAATCCCAAAAATGCTGAGATGTTGGCAAAATAGAAAAGCTCAAAATGATAAAAGAAAATATCCCCATGCAAAAGCCAAAAGAAAGGCTTCATTTGATCCACAAGTTTTATATTCATATTTGCTGACTTTCTTTTCAGGAATAGCAAGTACTTCAGAAAAACATGTTCTTAGTAAATACACCCCACTGAATAAGAACCAGAATTTACAAAGGGCTGTGCTGAGACCCAGAAGCACCTGGGTTGGAATCTACTCCCAAGGGCCACTCACCTCCATCCATGTGTCTCAGCGCCTTCTCTGCCTCATCTGGGTTCTCAAACTCCACATATGCATAGCCTTTGGATAGATGAGGATGCATCCTTTCTACAGGCATGTCAATCATTTTAATTTTCCCATAAGTAGAAAATATTTCCATGATATGATCCTAGAGAAAGAAGATCACATTTATTACTTAATTGTCAAAGGGAATTCACTAAATGCTGAGTAAATCCCCAGTAGTCCATTAAAAAGGTTTAAGCATTGTTCCAATCAAGCCATGGACTGCTTCTTTGAAGGACTATACTCTAGGTGCAGCAGTTGCCAGATACCAGCTTGTCCAGCCACACACCCCATCCAACCCTCATGGATCTGTGATTCTTCTTACCTTGGTCACATTCCTGGTAAGCCTCCCAATGTGCACTTTGGTGGGTTTAGGTGAAGGGCTCCGCCTTTTCCTCTCCTTTTCATCTCTTTTAGGTGGTTTGGACCTGAAAATAAAACACCCAGAAAATTTCAATTCCCATCAACTATATATAGTGGGTGTAGGGTGGGGTTCAGAAAAAGGTCCCAGATTTGGCCCCCAGCACTGAAAAAAGAAAAATATCAGCTGGGCATGATGAATATGCCTAAAATCCCAGCACCCAGGAGGCCACATGGGAATGAGGGCTAAACCTCTCAAACTGTAAGCCAGCTCCAACTAAATGCTTTCCTTTAGTGGTGTAGGCTTTTAATTCCAGTACTTGGGAGGTAGAGACAGGTGGATCTCTGTGAATTGGAGGCCAGTCTGATCTACAGAACTAGTTTCAGAATAGCTAAAGCCATATACAAAGAAACCCTGCCCTGAAAACCCAAATAAATAAATAAATAAATAAATGGGGGGGGGGGGAGGCTTTCCTTTATAAGAACTGCCTTGGTCATACCTTTTAACAACAGAATACTAACACATTATTCCTGATTTAGAAACCCTTCAAATTAAAACACACCCACCCATCTGCTTTTATTCTGTATGGGCATGTACCAGGGTAACATGTGTAGAGGTTAGAGGATAACTTTTATGAGCTGGTCTCTCAGCTTCTTCCATGTGAGTTCCAGGGACAGGCACTGTGGTGGTCAGGCTTGGCAGGAAGTACATTTACTGAGACAACCTACTAACACTCTTAACTCCTTTGATGACTTTTTTTTTTCTTTTGAGATAGGCTCACATGCAACCCACGATGGCCTCAAACTTCTGACCATCCTACTAGAAATACGGAGTACTGGGATTATAAGAATGCACACTTCCTTTTGATATACTTTAAAAAAAAATCACATTTACTATATTTATGTGCTACAGTGTATATGTGGAGGTCAGAGGATAACTTGTGGAAGTCATCACACATCACCATGTGGACCCTAGAAACTGAACTCAGGTTGTCATAAGCTTGGCAGCAAAAACCTTTACCCACTGAGTCATCTTGTCAGCCCCTTATCTACTGTTCTAATAACTATGGTAACAAGCAGGTTAACCATCCTGGACTCACTTGGAGCGGGAACGCCGCCTGTTGTCATGCCTGCGCCGAGAAGGGCTTGGGGAGCCAGAAGAGCTGCTAGAACTGGAGCTTCGGGATGTGCTGGAGCTTCCTGAGCGGCTAGATGCAGAGGAGGAGCTGGAGCCACTGCTTGAGCCTGTGCTAGTGCTGGAGCCCGAGCTGGAGGTTGAGCTGGATCGAGACCTAAGGAAAAGGTGCCGGCATTACAGAGTCAATGAGCAAGAGTCACATTTCTATTCAGAAGACTGCCCAGTAGAGGAAATAGCCTCATTGTTTTCGTCAGCAATGACATCTGACAGGCCCCAGCACCATGTAGTAACAGAAAAGTAAAGACAGGTTGTTGTTTCACCTATACAGAACCCTTAACTTTACCAATGGAGAAAAGGCAGGAGTCTATCTAGCAAAAGTCAGATCAATACCTCAGCTTGCAACAGGGCTGTAGATAGACCTAGGCAGGATTTCAATTTCCAAAAAATAAGCTCTAGGGGCTGAAAATACCACTCAGCAGGTAAGAACACCCAGGTTTGGTTCCCAACACACACCCACACGGCAGCTCACAATTGCCTGTGACTAGTTTCAGGGGACCAAATGCCCTCTTCTGGCTTCTGTGAAAACTAGGCACACACATGGTATGCATACATACACACAGGCAAAACTCATATACTTTAAAAAATTCAGAATGAATACCTACTTGCAAGAAAAACAATTCATGTCATCTAAACATCACATTTCTCAAGTAGTATCACAGAAGAGTTCACATCCATAAACATACATATCAAGACTATATATCATATATAACAAGATGAAACTCAAAACCACATGCCATAACTTAGGGTATTGGCAACAATCCAAGGGTCTGGTTGCTTTCAAGCACCAATGAAACCCTGTCTCAAAAAACAAGATGGACAGCTCCTGGGGAATAACACTGTTCTACAGGACTATTATCCTCCCAGCCAAACTGTTGTCACTCAGTTCAATTGGACCAAAGATCATCATCACTACAGCTGGGCTAGTCTCTCTTGGAAGGAAGAGACAGGGAGTAGTATCCAGGCATCCCTCTCAACCAGCTCTACCATGTAATTCTTCCCTAATTGTACATGGCCTCAGGCAGATGCTTTAAGTAGGGGATTATGAGGGATGAGAACTTCATCTACACAACCACAGGAGAGTTATCAACAATGCTCCTATCAATAACCGGGCACCCACTGCAGTGTAAGTAATCCCAATAAACACAACAGTGAAGTGCACGTTGGTTTGTTCGTGGGGACATAGGAAGAACAAATGTTCTTTACATTGATCTCTGGTCTCCACAACACACAAATGTATCACCCTTCTAAAAAAGAGGTAGTCCCTGGTGGGCTTCACCGCGAAGGAAGACAGGGCTGCAGCAGTGCCCCTCTGCCCCACCTGGTGCTGCTGCTTCCACTTGAAGCACTGCGTCTCTTCCGAGTCTTATCCCTGCCACGATCCTTCTCACTTGACTCTTTAGTGGCCCCTTTATCTTTAGAGCGATCCTTGGACTTCTCGTCAGAGCGGTCCTTGCGCTTGGTAGGAGAAGGAGCCCTGCATGGTGAGGAAGAATGTAAGGTTGCAAGCTCCCTTGACCAAACCCTGAAATACAACCCAATAGTGGGGTCTAAAGGGAATCCTAAGACCCCAGGTGATCACAGAGCAAAACAATAATTGGAATAGGACACTCACTATAGAACACAAAATCTCCCCTCTCTGAGGGTCCCTAAACAGCAAGCACCCCAAAATAGCACTAGAAAAATCTTACAGAAGGATTACCTAGTGCTGGACTTTTTATTATTTTCTTTGACTCCTAGCAAGCTCTTCTTTTTCACTCCTGATAAATCCATTCTCCCCTTCTGAGGTGTTCAAAGCAGCAATGTCGGCCTCACTTATCTGAACTCTCACTTCTAACTTGAGTCTGAGAAACGATCCCTAATCGATTGCAATTTACGCCAAAGAGCAGCCTAGTAACAAGATAAAAGGATTGAAATAGAGTAAACGAATTGACAACGCAACAAATCCACTTTGCAAGTTGAGTACACAAGAAGAAGGCAAGGGAACATAGCCAACAGAGATTGTGCACAGCTTGTATACTCAGAGGATAGCCCTTATTTCCTCATGGATGCTTTTCCTACCCCCATAAGAGGCACAAATGGAATGGCCACCTTAGTTTTTTTTTTTTTTTAATAGGAAAAATTTTTTTACACGTCTTGTCTTAAGGTATAGACTTATTAAGATTCTTCATTGTTTTAATTAATGGGATGGGGATGGTAACTGTACCTGTCATAGTTATTTTAGAGCCTGCACAACAATAGAGTTCACTGGTTAAGTTTGATGATAAACCACCTGTAGATGGCTTCAGAACTGACAGGTTCAAATTTGTCTTATTGCCACAATTCCCTTTGTGGATACACTGAATGATGACTAGGTCATTTTGAGTCACAAGCACCAAAACATTAAATATTCACACAAATGGACAAAACATCACAGAAGAACATAAAAAAGGGTCCTAAGCTGTGCAGTGGTGGCACAGACCTTTAATCCCAGCACTCTGGAGACAGAGAAGGCAAAGAGATTGAGGACAGCCTCTCTACAGAGCTAGTTCCAGGACAGCCAAGAAACCCTGTTGGAGTAGGGCCAAAAGCAAGAAAAAGTAAGACCGTCAAGTGGGTAAACTATAAAGCAAATATGGGGAAAATTACTTGTTAGATCTAGGCAGCAGTCAGGTAGGCACAAACCTTGAAACTTGGAATGGGGTGGGGTAAGGTCTTACAGGCTGTGTGAAGGTTTATTAGCAATACACTAGTAACAGTAACAATAACTGAAATACAAAGTGCTTCCTGTGCTCTCTTCTTAGGGAGAAAAGTATAAGCCAAGGCCTCAGGATGTATCTTAAGTCTCTCACCTCCTCAACTGTAACCACGAGAGAAAGAATACACCATTAAAGTTTGATTTCAGAGACAGGGCATTTCTAGATGCTGCTGAATAAACATTCTAGCCCCAAAGAGAAGAGCCCTTGGCTTTGGGCAAATAAATGGAAGATGGTAAATGGTTACTTATACAGCTCCTTTCCAGGGTCATAACATCTTTTCAAGCTGTTTACCCTACAACATATTATACACACCCACCGGGGAAAAAAACTGATTCATGATCTGGAGTAAGCAAGCATGCCTGTGTTTGATTTCGTGCTTCACTATCATCTTGGTCACGCCTTCATTCTTATTTTATTTTATTTACTGAGATAGGACCTCTCTATTACATAGATCTGGCTTGTCTGGGAACTCACTCTGTAGACCAGGCTTGTCTTGATCTCAGAGATCCTCTTGTTCTACTTCCAAAGTTCTGGGATTAAAGGCATGTGCCACTAAGTCTTGCTGGCACTCATTGTTATTCTAACATTTATTTATTTTTTTGGCAATAGAATCTCTTTATTATGTAGCACTGACTGTTTTGGAACTCTCTATGTAGCTCAGGCTAACCCCTGCCTCCTGAGTACAAGGATTAAAAGGCTTATATTTTGTTAAAGATAAGGTCTCCTACCCAGGCTGGCTTCAAATGTTCTCTCTATGCAGGAAAGTTTGACTGTTGCTTCTCTTGCCTCCACTGGGCTTGTAGGCTACCAACTGATCTACTGAACTACTGAAAGGCTTCACCTTTCCTGACAATTGTCCAAAGGCTTTAGCTAAATTATTCTGTGAATCTGATATGGCACCCAGCTTGAAGCTGTTTGTGCTCGTCTGGAATCTACATCCACACTCTTACCTCATTACACATGATTTCTGAATGCTTAATAAAGCTTGTAACAGCTCACCTTAAGATCACATAGAACACTGTCCAATAACCGTGTGAGCCATGAACACAACCTAAAATTTCCTTACAGCCACATCAAGACTGGTGGAAAGAAGTTTTTTTTTTCCCCCTTGTACTGCTGGAGAGTAAAACCCAAGGGCTGGTTGGGCAATGGTAGCACACGCCTTTAATCCCAACACCTGGAAAGCCAAAGGAGGGGATCTCTGAGTTTGAGGCCAACCTGGTCTACAGAGCTTGCTAAACTCCCTCACTTAACAAGGACTCTACTGATACAGACTGACAGTACAAAATTAATACTTTTTCTTTCTTGAGAGTGCTGGGATCAAAGGTGGTGTGTGGGTTCCAAAACTAGTTTTTAATAAGATATTACTTTTATAACATATACCCAATATAAAAATGCTAGATATTTGTAGTTTTTCCATACTAAATTATTTAAATTTTGCTCTTTAACATTTCAGTTTGGGTTGCTACCCAAGCGCTCCATAGCTATCAGTGTCAAAGAATAGCAATTTCGCTTGTGCATCCCACCCCAACAGGTTATGAAACAATCAGAATCCGTTATTTTTAAGCAGTCCACAAATATGAACTATAGAGTAAGTGAACACTTTGCTGGGTTGGTCGAGTGCTAGAAGCAAAGGTGAGGTTCTCTGTTAACACAAGTTCAGGTAACGTTGCTCAGGACTTTGGTCACCTCCCCATCCTCCGGAAAGGTGTACGTACAACAGCCAGAGAGGAGAAAACAATTAGTTAAATCTAGAACAGAGACCGTTTCGGCAACCTTCAAATCACTCTCTACATATAAAAGCACATTTGAGGCGCCGTGCCTACGCAATAACACAAGGTAGAGAAAGAAAGCCTACTTCACGTCTCTCAGCCATCAACCATAACCTTCCAATAGTCTCTTTGAGCTCGGGAACCGTGCTCAGTCCACCCTGAGCCGGATCCTCAAGGCCCAGAGCAACACTCATGGAAAGAGATCTGAAAGAAAGCCAACCTTTTAGGCCGGTTCACAATCGGCACCGTCCGCATATATCGACCTCGCCTCCCACCCTTTCCCACTCACAACTCAGGTAGGGCCTGGCGTGGTGAGCCTAGGTCTCCAGCTACACAAGAAAACAAGAGAAGAGGCGGCCTCGCGGCAGCTGGGAATCCTGCAAGCTAACCTGGGCGCCGCCAAGCTAACGATGCGGGATCGCCCTTCCGTCTGCGACCGCCTCGACCACTTCCGGGCCGCGGCCTCGACGCCTCCCACTCCGCCCGACCTGAACCACTCTTTCTCTTCGGATTCTGCGCGTCGCCGGCAGGCCTCTACCACACTGTGGGGCTGCGGGACGCAACCGGCTCCACGATGCGCCCCACCGAGCCTGGCAGAAGGTCCCTGAAGTTCGGATGCGGCCGGATTCCTTCCCAACTTACATCTTCCCGAGGCCGCCACCTCCTCCCGCTCTTCTCAGACCCGGAGGCCGGCGCAACTCTGTCGTCAGAGTTGAGAAGCGGGAAGACACTGCGTCGTCGCGCAGCGATGACGTCAAGTTTCTCAGCCAATGTACGCGAGCGGTGGAGAATTAAAGGCGCGACTGTTTATAGGAGGAGCGTCGCAGCGCTTAGTTTTTTTTTTCCTGAGGGGAGGCAATTCTGGGATTGCCGGGACTCGTTTTGCGCAGCTTGGAGCGCGCGGGTGATTGGCTGCACCCTTTGGTGTCTATTGGATCTGTGCGGAAGGAGATACTCTGGTTGCCTCTATTATTGCCTCTTATTATTATTGACTCACTTATTGTGTACGTGGCCCACGGTATCCGTAGGACCTAAGGTTATGCGCCCTGCAGGGAGTGATGCTCCTTACAGCCGATAAGGCCGAGGGTCAAAGCAAAGCCGCGCTATTCTAAAGGGTCAGGCTGGTACAGATGGTGGGTTCATGCCGTCAAAACTCTAGTTTTGTAGTGGGTGATCGCGTAGATGCTGTCTCTGTGCTGGTGAGATTCGGCCTGCTGGGTGCGGCAGGAGACCAGTGAGGCCAGAAAGAAAGGAGTTTGAGGAAATGTCTAAGACAGGCAGTAGGGGAGGCGTCTCAGAGGTGACATTTCTGAAAAGGATATGTGGGGCAGAGGGAACAACAGGTGCAAAGAAAGGCTTTCAGGTTCGCTGGGAGAAGAAAAGGAACGCCAGTCTGTGTGAGGGTCAATGTTAGGACACAGAGGTCCAGGCACTAGGCTATAGAGTACCGCCCGCTGTGGTGCCCCGCCTCCCAACTCTGCTTGGCATATTCCTTGCTCTGTGATTATTTGCTGAAGGAATGGATATGCACAATCCCTGCGGTTATCTAAACAGGTTTGAGGCAGCAAGGAAGAGAGAGGGACGGATCTAAGGTGAGCTTTAGGAGGAACAAAGGTGACTTGGATTTGGATTACATATCGCACTGAAAAATAGGAAAGAGGCTAACGTGCAGGTTGGTGACCTATGGAGAATGGAGGGAGGAGAGAGAATGCAAGGAGCTGGGGCACAGGCCAGGAAAAGGAGCTTGCCTCTGGAGTCTCTCCCTTGAGGCACCAGTTCATTTTTGGGAGGGGGTTACCAGATCCAGTCAGTCTAGCCTGGCACCCCGTTGGACTTAGAGTTGATGTGTGGGATATTTAACATAAGCTGATTTTCCTGAATTATTGTCATATCTGCTGTGGTCAGGCATGAGTGGAAAGTGGATGTTTTAGCTCTTCTCTAGAGGAACAGAACTGATAGAATAAAAATAAATAAGAAAATAAAAATATATCGTTGACTTACACAATTCAGTCTTGGTCATCCAACTGTGGCTGTCTGCACCCTGAAAAAAAAAGGTGGAGAACCAGTAGCTTCAAAATCTAAGAAACTGGATACCTTTGTAGTCTTAATCTAGTGCTGGAAGCATGGAGGATTCCTGTCCTTCGTCACAAGTTGGAAGGCTGAAGAACTTTGAGTTCTGATGTAAGAGAAAAATAGCAGCAAAAAGGTAGACAAACTTGCCAGAGAGAAGCAGCAAAACCATGTCTTGGACCTCCTTATATCTAAGCAGCCACTGGAAAGTGCTGCACACATTTAGGGTGGGTCTTCTCACTTAACAATCACAATTCCTCACAGGTGTGCCAGGAGGTGTGCCCCTTAGTTAATTCTAAATTCAATCAAGTTGACAACCAGGATTATAAGTTTTAGAAGAGCAGTATCCCAGGGGCTTTCAGCCTGTTCCTGTCTAGAAAGGGCTCTTAAGGCTCTGAGGTCGGGTGGTGATGGTCAAGCAGGCAGCATGTGCAGTTCTCTGAAGGTTTAGTGGAGTCTGTGATTAGAGAGGCTTCTGGAGAGTGAAAACTCAGAGCTGTGGGTCTGAAGCAGCACTTAAACCCTAGAAGCAGGAGGCAGCTAAGGGACCCTAGCATGGCTGGTAGGGTGAGGCCAGAACAAGTTGGACTAACACCCTCTCCCATGCTTTTCCCCCTGATGTTCGAAGTAGTTTAATTTGGTGTTCATGTAGGCTTTAACACATTTTATATTAAATCTAAAAGCATGATTAACTCAGATGCTTTGATAAAATTTGTTGCTAAATATTATGGATCTTTATGATCAAGTATACCACCAGCTGTTGAGCTCTAAAGGCTAAGAATCCGGCTCTTACCATTTTGAGGTATGCAGAAACATTCAGAAGGGTCTTAAGAACAGAATTTCTAGCCAGGTGGTAGTGGCAGCTTGGCATCAACAGCACATGCCATTAACCCCAGCATTCAAGAGGCAGATGCAGGCAGATTTCTGTGAGTTCAAGGCCAGTGTGGTCTACAGAGCTAGTTCCAGGACAGCCAGGAAAACCCTGTCTTAAAAAACAAACAGGCCAGGCAGTGGTGGTGCATGCCTTTGATCCCAGCACTCAGGAGGCAGAGGTGACTCTGAGTTTAAGGCCAGCCTGGTCTACAGAGCAAGTGCCAGGACAGGCTCCAAAGCTATCTCAAAAAAATCAGAAAAAGAAAAACAAAAAAGAACCACACTAAAAACAAACAAAAGAATTGAATCTTTGAACTTTTTTCTTTCTTTTTCCTTCCTTCCTCCCTCCCTCCTTCTCCTCCCTTCCTTTCTCCCTGTCTCTTTCTTTCTTGAGTCCTAGAATCCCATATTCTAGTCTGTTGCTAACCTTCTGAGGCCAAGGTGGTGAAAGGCCATGAGCTGGGGTTTCCAGGGACCCAGGGCTTCCTTGGTCCTCCCTGCTTTGCTGGAGGAAACATGAGTAGCTGGCCACAGTCAGGAGTGATGTAAGCCCTGATCAGTATTCTGAGCTCTCTTTCTTCCCTTCTCAAGGTTTAAAGTCACCCCCTGGTGATATCAAGGCCATTTTAACTTTGAGAGTGTTCTCATATTAAGACAGAGCACTTTCCCAGTCCTGATGACCTCTGAGATGACCAACCTTTGAAGGCAGCTTCAGACTGCTAAGGTCAGGGCCAACCAGGGCCCTGATGGTAATCTTGATCATGTCTGCCACTAAGATGTGGATGGATGGAGCCTTGCCCAAGATCCTGAAGGTGACACTGCCTTCTTCATATTTCATGAATGGCTAAAAATAAACTTCTGTTTTAAATCAGTGGTCTGTAATTTCTGATACTTGTAACCATGATGTTTAGGATGGAGACAGTTCCTCCTGTTCATGATCTATTATTTTAGACAGGGTCTCCCTATGTAGCCCTGGCTGTCATGAAATTCAGAATGTAGCCAAGGATGGATTCAAATGAATGGGGATCATCCTGCCTCTGCTTTCCAAGTGGTGTAATTACAGACATGTGTTACTATACATGACAGCCTTTTCCCTTCAAACCCTGGAAAGCACTGAGGGGCTTGGTTACAGTCTTGCACACATTAGAGCTTCATCTACTCATTTCCTAACCAACAACACATGCAGTGACACAGTGTTGCAGTTGAGCCACTTTGTTGGGCATAGGATGAAATGAGGAAACAGTGGCTGTCCCACAGGACTTGCTTTTGGACCAGGGACACTGGGTCATGCCATGGGGAGCAGAGGAAATAGCCTTGTCTCCAGGGTTCCTAGGAAGAGCTAGGCAGACAGGTACAGCAGCCACCTGAGAACCTTACTGGTCTGGAAGGGAATGAAGATGAAAGAGACAGTCAGTTTATACTACTGTCTCAGAAGTCCACAGCTCCTTCCTTTACTAGTCCTAAAGGAAAAAAAAAGCCAGTGGGAGATGGGTTTCTGAGTCCTGCTCTTGGCTTTGCTGTTGATATTTCAGTATTGAGTACCCAGCCTTGTACCCAGTGGGATCATGCAAACCTTTCCTGCTGTTTTTAGGGTCTTTGTTTTGTTTTGTTTTGTTTTTGCAAGACAGGGTTTCTCTGTGTAGCCCTGCCTGTCCTGAAAGTCACTGTGTAGACCAGGCTGGCCCTGAACTCACAGAGATTTATTTGCATTTGCCTTCAGAATTCTGGAATTAAAGATGTGTGATGCTACATGGCTCACCTATGTTTTTATTTTGCTTGTTTTTTGTTTTGTTTTTTTTTTTTTAAGTTTTTTGAGACAGGGTTTCTCTGTGAAACAGCTCTAGCTGTCCTGGAACTAGCTCTGTAGATCAGGCTGGCCTCGAACTCTCAGAGATCCACCTGCCTCTGCCTCCCAAGTGCTGGGATCAAAGGACTGCACCACCACCAGGCTACTGGCTGTTTCACTTTTGTTGTTGTTGTTTTTGTATTTTGTTTTGTACTATGTAGCTTTGGCTGTCCTGGAACTCAATAGAGTTTCACCTGCCTCTGCCTCCTGACTGCTGGAGATTAAAGTGTGCACCACTGTGATGGCTATTCTTGGTTGTCAACTTGACCACATCTGGGAATGAATACAGAAATAAGAGTGCACACCTGTTAGATTTTCTGCTTGGTTTGAAGTGGGTGAATCCACTTCTAGCCTGGACCTTTGAGGTGGGAAGACACACCTCTGATATGGATCTTGAGGCAGGAAGACACAGGCTTTTAAAAATATTTATGTATTCATTTTCTTTTATTTTCAGAAACAGGGTTTTGTTGTGTAATGGCCCTGGTTGTCCTGGAACTTTCTTTGTAGACCAGGCTGGCCTCCAACTCACATAGATCTGAATGCCTCCAACTGGGATTAAGAATCAAGGGCATGAGCTCACAGGCTTCTGATCTGGATCTTGAAGTGGAAAGACACACACCTCTTATCTTGGCTATACCTTCTTTTGGAAACATATCTAACCACACGGAGGAAGAACACACACACACACACACAGAGTGGGGGGGGGAAGAGAGTCAGAGAGAGAGGAGATTCATTCCATAAATTCAGAGAACCCTGACTAATACAACCAACATGCCCGGCTGCCCTGCTTTGAAGACTTTTTAAAGGGATGAGTGCTATGGAAACTATTTGAAGTTTCTAAATGTTCAGAGACTGGTTAAAATCATTGTTGCTTAGTTTGGTAGCTTGAACCTTTAATCCCAATATTTGGGAGACAGAAGCAGGGGGATCTCTGAGTTTGAAGGCAGCCTAGTTTTTAGAGAGTACCGGGCTAGTCAGGGCTACATAGTGAAATCTTGTTTCAAAACAATAG